GAACTCCACATTGTTACCTACGACTGCCTACTGTACTTGGTTATCTAGTTAACATTTCAAATTTAGTACCTCCACCCCATACTTATTATCCAACCCAACTTCTTTTCCTCCAGATCAGTTAATGGTTGTTGATAAATCAACACTCTGTTGATTTATCCCCAAACCCAGGAGTCAATCTTGATTGCATTGTTTCTGTCACTCCCCACATCCATTGTCAGCAAGTCCTTTCAGAAAGACCTATCCCCCAAATCTACCTTGAATATGGGCTCTTCTCACATTTTACACTGCTGTCACTGTCATCTCCATGCCTCCACTCATGTCCCTCCAGGATCTACTCTTCATATAGCAGCTGGAGTAATTTTTAAATACACAAGTCAGACTTAACACTCCTTTTGAATAATCTTCCAATGGCCTCCTATTTCAGTTAAAATCCAAACTCCTTTTTCTTGGCATAAAAGACTTTAAATGGTCTGGCTCTTCCTCCCTTTTCAATATCCTCTCCATCCTTTTCTCCTTTTCTTTCTTCTTTTTTTCTTTTCTTTTTTTTTTTCTTTTTTTTTGAGACAGTGTCTTCCTCTGTCGCCCAGGCTGGAGTGCAGTGGCATGATCTCTGTTCACTGCAACCTCCGCCAGCTGGGTTCAAGTGATTCTTGTGCCTCAGCTTCCTAAGTAGCTGTACCACCACACCCAGCTAATTTTTGTATTTTTCATAGAGACAGGGTTTTGCCATGTTGGTCATGCTGGTCTTGAACTCCTGGCCTCAAGTGATCCGCCCATCTCGGCCTCCCAAAGTGCTGGGATTACAGGCGTGAGCCACTGCGCCCGACCTGGCATTGACCAATAACTTTTAAATGCCATTATCTCCTCTACAGTGTTTGAAGTATGCACTCTTATTTGTACCAACTAAGTGGCTGTCCCTTACTCTTTCACCATGTATATGTAAAGCCTTCAAGTAATCAATAGCTGTACCCTTAAAACACTGGAATACTAATAACCAGCCTCCCATCTTAAATGGTATTTTCATTCAATATTTTAGATCTCCTCTATTTGTTTACTCTCCAAATGAGACATTATTTTGCATAATCAATGTTTGTTTAGATTTCCTTCATATTTACTTTTTTCTCTTTTTTTTGCTTACAACTCCCTCTTATATCTCAGACTTTCCTCTTGGTGTTATTTTCCTTCCTATGGTATGGGTTTGTAGGAGGTTAATACTTTTATTTTTTCTTTGACCAAAATTGTCTTGATTTTGTCCTTGTCCATGATAATTGTAGTGTATAAAAAAGATTCTAGGTGAATTTTGGAAGTATGCCGCTAACCTCTGACTTCTGCTGTTGCTCTTGAAAAACAGTTGTCATTTTAACTGGTTTTCTTTTATAGGTACAGTCATGCATTGCTTAATGACAGGCATATGTTCTGAGAAATGCATCAGTAGGTGATTTTGTCACTGTGCAAACATCACAGAGTGAATTTACACAAATCTAGACGGTATAGTTTACTACACACCTAGTACAATCTATTGTTCCTGCACTACAAACCTGTACAGAACGTTATTGTACTGAACACTGTAAGCAGCTGTAACACAGTATTTGTGTATCTAAAAATATCAAAACATAAGAAACACACTTAAAATACACTATACTGATGGCTCATGACTGTAATCCTAGCACTTTGGAAGGCCTAGGTGGGCAGAGCACTTGAGCCCAGGAGTTCAAGACCAGCCTGGGCCACATGGCAAAATCTCATCACTACAAAAAATACGAAAAAAAAAAAAAGATAGCAGGGTGTGGTAGTGTGTGTCTGCAGTCCCAACTACTCAGGTGGCTAAGGTGGGAGGATCACCTGAGCCAAGGAGGTAGAAGTTACAGTGAGCCGAGACCATGCCACTGTACTCCAGCCTAAGCAACAGAGTGGGATTTTGTCTCAAAACAAAACAGTATAAAAGACAACCAAAAAAAAACAAAAACAAAAACCAAAAAAAGGACACCTGTGTAGGGCACTTACCATGAATAGAGCTTACAGGAATAGAAGTTGCTCTGGGTGAGTCAGCGAGTGAGTGGTGAGTGAATGTGAAGGCCTAGGACATGGCTATACACCACCATAGACATTATAAACATTTGTATGCTCTAAGCTACACTAAATTTATATGAAAACAATTCTTTCTTGGCTGGGTATAGGTGGCTCATGCCTGTAATCCCAGCCTGGGAGGCTGAGGCAGCATTTTTTTTTTTTAACTGGGTGTCCTGTGTCTTTATTTGTGAAATCTGGCAACTCTCCACTCCATCTGCTGCCCCTCACTCACTGTGCTCCAGCCACACAGTCCTTGCCATTCATCAGATGCTCCTTCCCAGTCTCAGAGCCTTTATGCTTGCTTTTCCCTTGCCTAGAACATTCTTATTCTAGATCTTCCCACAGCTGTCTCCATGTCATTGAGATCTGAGCTCAAATGTCACCCTATCCTGATTTTACTTCCCTGTCAGTCTCCATCATCATTCTTTATAAAATTTAACACTTTCTGAAACTATTATTCATTAGTTTACTTGTATATTTGTCATGTCTCCCCTTAGTAGAACGTAAGCTTCATGACAGCAAAGGCCTTATTAGTTGCTGTATCCCCAACACCTGACGCCAATGTCTGGCTCTTACTAGGCACTCAATAAATATCTGTTAGATGAATGTATGACACCCCAAATCCTGTTCTGCAAGATTTAAAGTTAAGAATACCTGTTAGGCGTAGACTAGCTGGCCTTAACAGTAACAAAAGTTTCGAAAAAATCAATATGGATCCAAAACAAAATTGCCTTGAAGAAAGGGCTAGTCTGTGTTGTGGGTGGCTGATGCTGGAAGATCCTCCAGACTCAGTCTTCCCTCACAGGGTTATTCTCCAGTGAGCAATGATTGAATGAGGAAACGGAATACCTGGCTTACCTTGGCACTGAGTCATCTTATGCCGTTGAGGACCTCTAGAGGGCCAGTGTTTTGACTGCAACCCTCCTAGCAGCAAGAAACAATGAGGTAGCTAACTTTCTGCTGGTATGCAAAAGTCAGGGAGCGCTCCCCCACCCCACTTGTACCCCCACAAATCCAGACGACTTACAGACTATTCAATATGAAAGGGAAACCTCAGAGAAGGAGCATGTGTGGCTTGAGCTAGTTTTAATAAAAATACAGTAAAAATGTAAGAGCCAGGTTGCTAATTACACCTCCGGTTCAAAATCGGGGAGGCTATAGATGGCATGTTGGGAATTTGGAAATGGGCAGAAAAATAAATAATAAGTAATTAGGTATTGGCGAAGAGAGAGAAAATGCTGAAATAAATGGATGGAAGTAGGTGGGGAGTGGATTTGGATGGGGCTTGTAGACCATATTAAGAAGCTTGGACTTTATCCAGAGGGCATGTGGGAACCACATGGATTCTAAGCCGAGGAGTAACTCCAGTCTCTGGATCTCATATGTACTTGGAGAGATTCTCTGTACTACTGCATATTAAAGGGAACAACACTGCAGTTGAGACCAGTTAGAAACAGTCTATTGAACAAGGATGATGAAAGTTTGAATAATAATGATCATTTTAATCATAGCGGGGGAATTAAACCAGACACTTCCTAAGCCCATTACATACTTTTGGTTATGCAATAGCAACCCTACCAAAGTGGCACTAGTGTTAACGTCTCTGTGGGGAAAAGAAAGAGAGATCAGCCTGTTACTGTGTCTATATAGAAAGAAGTAGACATAAGAGACTCCATTTTGTTCTGTATTTGAGATGCTGTTAATCTGTGACCCTACCCCCAACCTTGTCCTTGCAAGAGACATATGCTGCTAAAAGGTTTATGGAGATGTTTGCATATGCATATCAAGGCACAGCATTTTCCTTTGAACTTATTCATGTCACAGAGATCTTTATCCATATGTCTTACTGCTTTCTCCCTACAATGATCCTATTGTCCTGCCACTCCCTTATCTTTAAGATGGTAAAGATAATTATCAATAAATACTAAGGGAACTCAGAGACGGGTGCCGGCGTGGGTCCTCTGTATGCTGAGCGCCGGTCCCCTGGGCCCACTTTTTCTTACTCTATACTTTGTCTCTGTGTCTCATTTCTTAAGTCTCTCGTTCTATCTAACGAGAAGCGCCCACAGGTGTGGAGGGGCACGCCAGCCCTTCACGTCTCCATTTTACAGGTAAGGTAAAGAAATTGTGAGGGTAAATAATTTGCCCAAGATCTCTCAGAACCCAGGTTTCTCTGACTGCAGTGCTCTCTTCATTCCCTTAGACTAAGCCATCGGAGTGGGGAGGAAAAGGAGGCAGATGTGAAAAACATTTAGGAGGTAAGTAACAGTTATTATTATTAGCACTAGATAATGATGATGGTGATGATGATGACAATGATGATGACGGTAAGGGGGATTTCATGCCTTTATACATTCAAGAACTTAACACCAGATTCAGTGTCGGAGAAGAGAGAAAATTGATTAAGGTATGGGCGTTGAGCTAACAGTTTAATACGATATAAAACTTCCCAAAGGGAGGGGTCACAACGCCTCTCCTGTCCATTGCCCCCAATCCACCGCAAAAGTCGCTCCTGCCTGGGCTCCACCGCAGTGCCACACGAAGGACCTCGGGCGCCGACACCGCCCCGCCCTTGGCCGCGCCCCGCCCAGGCCACTGTCCCTCTTCCGAAGCCGCGCCCCCGCCTCGCCCCTCCCCGCCCTGCTCCGGCCCCGGCCCCCAAGCCCGGGGCCTGCCGTCTCGCCTCCCGCCCCGCCGCCCCGCCTCCCGCCCCGCCGCCCCCCGGGACCCCCGACCCCGGGCCTGCACTCTCGCCCCGCCTAACCCCTCCCCGCCCCTTCCACGCCCCAACCCTCGAACTGCCATCGCGCCGTGCCCCGCCCCGCCCCGCCCCGCCCCGCCCCGCCGCTCTCGTGGCCCCCACCTCCAGGGGCGCCTCTGCGGGCCACGTGGTCCGGCGTCCGTGCGCAAGCGGCTCTTGGCGCCGCGCTTCCGGGTTGGCTGTGGCTGTGGCTGTGGCTGTGGCTGCGGCGGCAGCGCAGGGGCAGAAACCCGGGCGGCGCAGAAGCCCCAGAGGCGGGCGGGGCAGAGTGGAGGGCCGGCGGGGCCCTGCGCGGGTCTCCCGCCAGGCCGCCGGGTGAGCTGGCAGCGACCCGGACCCCACCGGGTGCCCCAGAGAGGTAGGTCTACGGCGCCGACTCCTCCCCCGCCGTCTGCTCCCCAGTCGGGCCCGCGGGGCCTGGGCGGGGAGGTGGGGGTCTTTCCGCGCCTCTTCCCCGTGCTCGGGCCTCCGGGGGCTCCGCGCCGCGCCCAGTTTGTCTGGCGGCCCCACGCAGCTTACGTTATTAGTATTTTATTGCAGCTACCTCACGTTCGCTTTGCACATGCACATTTCTTCACTCTTCACATTGGTTCCCACACACGAAACGGCTAATAATCTGGGAGATGGAGGCAGCTTCGATCTCCTTGAGATAGTTGTGCAACCATAGAAAGTTCGTGCTGTGGAGGATTTTGGAGATGGTTGATCCCATGCCTTCATTTTAGAGAAGATAGACCCTGAACCGTTCCATGAATACTAGAGAGTCACTCAGCTAGGTAATGTGCGGCAGGAGGCTGAGGGTGAGAACTGCTTGAACCCGGGAGGCGGAGGTTGCAGTGAGCCGAGATTGCGCCACTGTACTCCAACCTGGGCGACAGAGTGAGACATCGTCTCAAAAAAAAAAAAAAAAAAGAAAAGAAAAGAACCCCGAGCTAAGTTTTTTTGGTTTTTGTTTTTTGAGGTGGGTGGTCTTGTTCTGTCGCCCAGGCTGGAGTGCAGTGGCACGATCACGGCTCACTGCAGCCTCGAACTCCCAGGCTCAGGTGATGCTACTGCCTCAGCCTCCCGAGTAGCTGGGACCACAGGCGGGCACCCCCACGCCAGGCTAATTTTTGTATTTTTTGTGTAAATGGATTGTTGCCATGTTGCCCAGGCTGGTCTCAAGTGATCCACCCGCTTCGGCCTCCCAAGGTGCTGGGATTACAGGCCTGAGTCACTGTGCCCGAGCCCAGAGCCAAGTTTGTAGACAGACAATTAAAAATGGTCATGGTAAAATTCAGTTAATGATGTGAAGTGAATCGGAAGTTCATGTGGGCTGGCATTAACCTTTTAGACAGTGCTTCCTCCTTTTTAAACCTTGTTTTCTTATTTCAGATTTAACCCTTCGTGGCTTCTGAAGAAAATGGCAGAAACATCGCCAGAGCCTTCTGGGCAGCTTGTTGTACACTCAGACGTTCACAGTGACACTGTCCTGGCCAGTTTTGAGGATCAGAGGAAGAAAGGCTTCCTCTGTGACATTACTTTAATCGTGGAGAATGTCCATTTCCGGGCCCACAAAGCCTTACTTGCTGCCAGTAGTGAATACTTCTCAATGATGTTCGCAGAAGAGGGGGAAATCGGCCAGTCCATTTATATGCTGGAAGGCATGGTTGCCGACACCTTTGGTATCCTGCTGGAATTTATCTACACAGGTTATCTCCATGCCAGTGAGAAAAGTACAGAACAAATCCTGGCTACTGCTCAGTTCTTAAAAGTCTATGACCTGGTAAAGGCTTACACAGACTTCCAAAATAATCATAGCTCCCCAAAGCCAACAACTTTGAACACTGCTGGTGCCCCAGTGGTTGTTATCTCTAATAAGAAAAACGATCCTCCAAAGCGGAAACGGGGAAGACCAAAAAAAGTCGATACATTGCAGGAGGAGAAGTCAGAACTGGCTGCAGAGGAAGAAATACAGCTAAGAGTGAACAATTCAGTTCAGAATAGACAAAACTTCGTGGTTAAAGGAGACAGTAGTGTACTGAATAAGCAGATTGCAGCGAAAGAAAAGGAAGAATCGGAGCCTACTTGTGAGCCAAGTAGAGAGGAGGAAATGCCAGTTGAAAAAGATGAGAACTATGATCCCAAGACCCAGGATGGCCCGGCAAGCCAGAGTCGGTACAGCAAGCGGAGGATTTGGAGATCCGTCAAACTTAAAGATTACAAACTTGTTGGGGATCAAGAGGACCGTGGTTCAGCCAAGAGGATCTGTGGAAGGAGAAAGCGCCCTGGAGGCCCTGAGGCCCGTTGTAAAGACTGTGGCAAGGTCTTTAAGTACAATCACTTTTTAGCAATTCACCAGAGGAGCCACACAGGTAATGATGCTTTCAAAGTTGATTGCAGTGTGTTTCAGAATTGGGAGCAGGGATGATAATAACAGCTTTCATTTACTGTGCAACTTCTGTATGATGGGCATTGTAATAAAGCCTTTATACATGTTATTGCACTTAATTTTCTCCACAATCCTGCAAGGTAGGTAATATCCTCATTGTACATTGTATGATTAAAATCGTATTTACTCATATGTAAGAGAGGGTTGCTAAAGTGCATAGTTTACAGAGGGAAGCAACCAAGTTCTAGGGAGCCTAAATAACTTGCCAGAGTCACATGAGTGACAGAGCTGGGATTGAACCCAGGTAGCCTGGTTCAAGAACCCCTCTCATTTGTAGTTGTTGAATGAAGCCTTTAATGTCCGCTTATCAAAATCTAGCCCAGTGTACTCTGCTTTCTGATTCTTGAACATTCTTCATCTTGACCAAACCGTGCTTTTGTCCAAGTCTGTGTGGACCACTTTCTAACTCAGCTATCTGACTTTAAATACCTTCTTGTTTTTGGTCCCTCCAGCCCAGCGCTGACCAATGGGGACCCTTCAGTGATGATGGAAATGTTCCTACATCTGCACTGCCCAATATGGTGGCCAGTAACCACATGTGGTTTTTGAGCACTTGAACTGTGGCTAGCGTGACTGAGAAACTGAATTTTTAATTTTATTTTAATTCATTTAAATTTGAATAACCACATGTGGCTAGTGGCTACCATATTAGACACTACAGTCCTAGCGAGAAATCCCTTCCTTCTTTGAGCCCTTTCAGGTGCTTAAAAGCCACCTGCTTTGGGTCAGATTGTTGTTGCCACTTGTACATCCCTCAACTTAATTGTAAGCTTAAGTATAGGGACTGATGCTTAAGTCTTCTCCTGTGATCCAGCAGCATCTGGTGCTGTGGTTCTCAGCCTGCAAATTAGAATCACTTAGGGAGCTTCTAAAACTACCAGTGCCTAGGCCTCAACCCCAGAGCTTCTGATTTGTCTGGAACCTTGGTGCTTTTAAAAGCTGCCTCAATACTTTAGCTACAGATAGGTTGAAGACCTTGAATTCTGGTACTTTGAAAAAAGTAGATACTTGAGAAATATTTGTTGAACTGTAATGGGTTATATTTTGGCTTTTTTTTTTTTTGAGGTGGATTCTCGCTCTGTCGCCCAGGCTAGGGTGCAGTGGCGTGATCTAGCTCACCACAACCTCCGCCTCCCGAGTTCAAGCCATTCTCCTGCCTCAGCCTCCTGAGTATCTGGGATTACAGGCACACGCCACCACACCCAGCTAATTTTTTGTATTTTTAGTAGAGACGGGGTTTCACCATGTTGGTCAGGCTGGTCTCGAACTCCTGACCTCATGATCTGCCTGCCTTGGCCTCCCAGAGTACTGGGATTACAGGCGTGCGCCACTGTGCCCAGCTGGCTGTTTTTGTCAAAGATTTATATGGACATAGTTTGGAGTTAAATCATTATGCAAGACTTAAGAAAAAGCATGTAGGATCGATCTTCCCTTATGTCCCCAGTACAGACAGTCCCCAACTCATAGTGGTTCAATTTTTCAACTTTACAATGGTGTGAAAGCAGTACACATTCAACAGAAACTGTACTTTGAATTCTGAGTTTTAATCTTTTCCTGGTCTAGTAATATTCAGTATGATCCTCTCATGCCATGCTGGGCCACACAGTCACCTGGGTAAGTGACCAGTACTCTGCACTTGGGGCATTCATACAGTACTCTGTATTAAGTGCATTTTTTCTTATGATATTTTCAGTATGATGGGTTTGTTGAGATGTAGTCCTGTCATAATTCAGGCAGCACCTGTATTCTGAATTTTGCAGCCCATCACTTTAGTATGGATCTGTTTTCTTCCATCTGGGTAGATACCAGGTAGATTCATAAGGTTTGGAAACTGTCTTTCAGTTCCGGAAAATCTTGAGTTATTTCATAGATGATTTCCCCGCTGTGTTTCCTCTGTTCTAACTTTATTTTCTCTTATATTTTCCATCATTTTTGGCCCTCCCTTCTGGGGGATTTCCACTTTGTTTTTCAGCCCTTTGAGGTTTTCTGTTTCGACTCTTATTTTTTTTCCCCCTTTAGGAGCTTTTTGTTTTCTAAATGTTTTAATGTGAATGATCTTTTTTCTTTTTTTTGAGACGGAGTCTCGCTCTGTCGCCCAGGCTGGAGTGCAGTGGCCAGATCTCAGCTCAGTGCAAGCTCCGCCTCCCGGGTTCACGCCATTCTCCTGCCTCAGCCTCCCGAGTAGCTGGGACTACAGGCGCCCGCCACCACGCCCGGCTAGTTTTTTGTTTTTTTAGTAGAGATGGGGTTTCACCATGTTAGCCAGGATGGTCTCGATCTCCTAACCTCGTGATCCGCCCGTCTCGGCCTCCCAAAGTGCTGGGATCACAGGCCTGAGCCACCGCGCCCAGCCGTGAATGATCTTTTTATTTCACAATGTAATATCTTACTTCTGTGAGCATGTTAATGATAACAACATTTTCCTCACTGGAGGCAAGTTGCTTTTTTTTTTCCTTCTTGCTTGTTTGTCACTACTACAAAAGGCTTTCCTTGGGTGCCTGGTGGTTGTTTAAAAATCATATTTAATCATATGTAAGAGTGGGTTGCTAAAAGCTACTGGCAATGCTGCGTGTGTGGAGAGAGCCTGTATTTTATTTATTTCTTACTCTGTTGCCCAGGCTGGAGTGCAATGGCGTGATCTCTGATCAGCGCAGCAATCTCTGCCTCCCGAGTTCGAGTGGTTCTCCTGCCTCAGCCTCCCAGGTAGCTGGGATTACAGGCACGCACCACCGTGCCTGGCTAATTTTTTTGTATGAGAGAGCCTGTAAAACTGTGACCTTGTTCCCAGATCACACTGAGGGTCAGGCTGCTATTTCTCGTGGCCAGTAACGAGATGCAGATGAACTGGGGAGGAAGAGAGGTTTTATTTCTGTAACCGGTTACAGGGAGAAGGCCTGGAAGTTATCGCCAGACCAACTCAAAATTGCAGTTTTTCAGCGCTTACATACCTCCTAAGCTGTATGTCTACATGTAAGTGTGCATTCCTCTAAAGACACAGGTGATTAACTTCTTTTAATCTATAACTAAGGTCTGCGTCCCAAAGACCTTCTTCTGGAGCCTCAGTAAGTTTACTTAATCGAAGTGGGTCTAGGTGCTGGGGTGATTACCCTTATCTTCCGCTAAATCAAGGAAGTTTGGGGAGTTCCTTCAGATCCCCAGTAAAACTTGTTTAATCCTAAATGGGTCCCGTTAAGAATTCCTTTGTTATTTTGTCATGCTTTAAGGCCCAGGAGAAGCCTAGGCAAAACTCTTGGTAGGCTTTTGTTACATTCCAGCCTTCCTTTAAAGGCACTGGCTTTTAACATTTAACTTATCCACTCAGTCAGTACTGGAACAGTTGTTGTGCAGGCCTGTCATAACCTCACTGGAGGTGGTGTGGCTGTGCCCCATGTCCCTGCTGGTGCCAGGCTTCCACATCTTTGCTCTCTCACCTTGGACCATCACATTCCAGTGGAAGACGCTTCTACTGTCCCACTTGGAGGCACTAGGCCTGGCTGCCCGCCTGTGGCTAGGGCAGGAGAGGGAAGAAGGAGTGGGGGAGTCTCATCATCCCAGGTGGAAATGTTGACTTACTCTCCCTGTGGTAATCCCAACTCAACTGTGCCTACAAACCCCTAATCCAGAGACCCCTTTTTCTTAACCTTCCTCAGAGAACACTCCATCCTCTTTTGGGGAGAGGGACAGTCTCCAGGCTGTGTAAAATGGAAGATTTGATCAGGGGTCTGAGTACCTTTGAAACAGACTTTCATTTACCCTCCCTCACCCCTGTTTCTAGAGATAGCAGGTGCCACCAATTCCTGAGCCTTTTGGAGATTGTGTCTTAAAAATTAGGTTGTATTGGGCTGGGTGTGGTAGCTCATGCCTATAATCCTAGCAATTAGGGAGGCAGAGGCAGGAAGATTGCTTGAGCCCAGGAGTTGGAGACCTGCCTGGGCAACATAGTGAGATCTCATCTCTAAAAAAAAAATTAAAGTTACAATTAAAAAATCAGCTGGGTGTGGTGGTGGCACTTGCCTGTATCCCAGCTACTCAGGAGGCTGAGGTGGGAGAATCATTTGTTGCCAGGAGGCTGAGGCTATCGTGAGCTATGATAATGCCACTGCACTCCAGCCTGGATGATAGAGTGAGACCCTGTTACCAAAACATACATATATATAGAGTTTATATTAGTGCTCCCCACGGCTGGCTTCAGATTCATCTGTTCCAGCTTCCAAAATTTTATTGCTGATGTCTCGTGTCCATTGTTGGCCTTGTGGATGTGTGACTTTTAAGAAAAATCCTTTATGATTTTAATTTGGGAGAGACAAAAATGTGTGGATTCTTACTTACGCCATGCTTCTGGGGCTCTTCTTCCAGGGGAGCGACCTTTCAAATGCAATGAGTGTGGAAAAGGCTTTGCCCAGAAGCACTCGCTACAGGTCCACACCAGGATGCACACCGGCGAGCGACCGTACACCTGCACCGTGTGCAGCAAGGCTCTGACCACCAAGCACTCACTGCTGGAGCACATGAGCCTGCACTCAGGTAGTGGGACTTGCCCAGAGGGCCAGCTGTCACCAGATTCCCATTCTGCAGGGTGGGCATTACCAACACCTAAACGGTGTTTTCTCAGCCCAGTATCATTTCCAACGTGGGGTTATTGAAAGACAGGAGTTTGCATCTGTCTGAGTGCAGTTTAGAGTTCTGCACTGATCCTTAAACTAGAGCTTATAAACTGGCTGCTGGGAGTTTGGTGTGCAAGCATGTTTTATGAAACTACAAAGTTTAGAATTATTTTACTTTGGGCCGGGCGCGGTGGCTCAAGCCTGTAATCCCAGCACTTTGGGAGGCCGAGACGGGTGGATCACGAGGTCAGGAGATCGAGACCATCCTGGCTAACACAGTGAAACCCCGTCTCTACTAAAAAATACAAAAAACTAGCCGGGTGAGTTGGCGGGCGCCTGTAGTCCCAGCTACTCGGGAGGCTGAGGCAGGAGAATGGCGTAAACCCGGGAGGCGGAGCTTGCAGTGAGCTGAGATTCGGCCACTGCACTCCAGCCCGGGTGACAGAGCGAGACTCCGTCTCAAAAAAAAAAAAAAAAAGAATTATTTTACTTTGAACGCCTTTGGGGGAAACTTAAATTCTCCAGTTCTACCCCAGTCTCCACTACTCCCTATTGCCTTACATACCTTTGCACATTTATGTTTCTGTGGTACATTGAAGGCTTCTGGGTTTGTAAACAGGTCACTTGTATCATTTGTAGAAAATGGGGACCTGGACCCACTGTAGTATTTACCTTATTAGTGAGCATTCCAGTTCTTCATAGTTTTTTGCAAGTTTTAGTGTTTTGGTTTTTTTGGCAGGACAGAAGTCTTTTACCTGTGATCAATGTGGAAAATATTTCAGCCAGAACAGACAACTAAAGAGCCATTACCGAGTTCATACAGGTACGGTAAAGTGAGAACATTTAGATTGGGGGGAAAGAAATGCAAATAAAAATTGTTTCTGAAACGTTAGGTTCCTATTGTAGGTGATAAATGGGTATTTAGGGAAAAGTGCCTTGAGAGTCTAAATTACATGTTTTTATGTTATTGTCCGCCACCATGTGAATTATGTTTTATTTGTATACTACAGTTTTGATGCCACACACAGAAACCCTACAGAATTGGCATCTTTCAGAAGTGCCACTTGCCCAAGGGAGCTTCAGTGAATGGTTGTTAGTGGTGCCTAGGCAGAGACATCATCACCCCGCGCCTGTCAGCCCAGGCTTTCTCTCCCCTGGTTCTACCTGTTGTCTTTTTTCTTTCCTGCCAACTGATAAGAAATGAATGTGGGTTGCAAGTGTCATTTGAGGTCATTTGTGGCCTCAGTCACACCAATACTTTGAGGAGAAAAGGAGAGACTACATTTAGAATTGGAAGGATCCTATCTCTTTCGGAGGAGGCAGTGAGTTGAGGTGCTTAGGAAAATATTAACCGTTACCAAATTAATGAAAACATTTTCGTTGTTAAAGTACTATATTTAAAGTGATTATTTTTCAGGGAAGTGCTTTAACACAAATCACTGAAGAAAATGCAGGGAGAGCATATATGCACTGACACTTTTTTTATTGTTGCGACAAGGACACTCATTACCGGAATGCAAAGACTGCCATCGCAAATTCATGGATGTGTCTCAGCTGAAGAAACATCTGCGAACGCACACAGGTAAAACTCCGCCTCGTCTGTTCCCCCGGTACACGGGAGGTTTTCAGGAGAGTGAAGAATGAAGTACTTTCTGTGAGTGCCCTGCCCAGCCTGTGTTTGGAAACGTTTATTATAAATTGGATGGGAGTTGTGGAAGAAGATAAGTTAAACGTTGAAGGCAGAATGTTGTCAGCACTGTCTTTGGGGAAATCACATCTCTTGTAGATGAGCAAAACGGAGATCACTCACTGAGCGCTATTCCTATGTCACAATTCATTTAATACCACAGAATAGTGAGACTGAGTCTGCTTCTGTGCTTCACTCTTAATTTACTTCAGCATTGAAGATGATATGAAGACTTTTTTTTTTTTTTTTTTTTTTAGATAAGGGCTCACACTGTCATCCAGGCTAGAGTGCAGTGGCATGATCACAGCTTACCACAGCCTCGACCTCCTGGCCTGAGGTGATCCTCCCACCTCAGCCTTCTGAGTAGCTGGGACCACAGGTGCACACCACCACACCTACCTAATTTTTTACTTTTTAGTTTTTTGTAGAGATGGATCCCACTATGTTGCCCAGACTGGTCTTGAGCTCCTGAGCTCAAGCAGTCCTCCTGTCTGAGCCTCCCAAAATGCTGAGATGATAAGCATGAGCCACCATGCCCAGCAAGATAATTTTTTTTTTTTTTTTGAGACAGTCTTGCTCTGTTGCCAGGCTGGAGTGCAGTGGCGCCATCTTGGGTCACTGCAACCTCCGCCTCCCGGGTTCAAGTGATTCTCCTGCCTCAGCCTCCCGAGTAGCTGGGACTACAGGCGCCTGCCACCTTGCCCGGCTAATTTTTTGTATTTTTAGTAGAGACGGGGTTTCACCATGTTGGCCAGGATGGTCTCAATCTCTTGACCTTGTGATCTGCCCGCCTTGGTCTCCCAGAGTGCTGGGATTACAGGTGTGAGCCACCACGCCCGCCCCAAGATAACTTTTTTAGAAAAGATAGCCAAATGTAACAGACACAAATGTAGCATAGACACTGAGAATTTTTCCACTTTCTCCCCTAAAACCAACACTTAAGCTTAAGCAGCACCGCCTCCAGAAAAATCAGTTTCAGAGATGACAAGGAGGCAGCATTGATTAGGGCAGGTCAGTTTTTTTATGTAAGATCAGAAAATTGGATCTTTTATACCTTTTGGCAAAGAACATATGTTAAAAATAAGTCTATCAGATTTTCTAAGAAAAACTTGCCATTACAGATTATTTAATAATTCTGTTGTCTACTGGAATTATCTAAATAGCAAATTGATTTATGGTGCTTTGGACTTTTTTTTTTTTTTTTTTTAGAGTCACTGTCTCACTCTCTTGCCCAGGCTGTAGTGCAATGGTGCGATCTCGGCTCACTGTAACCTCTGCCTGCCGGGTTCAAGCAATTCTCCTGCCTCAGCCTCCCGAGTAGCTGGGACTACAGGTGTGCACCACCACGTTTAACTAATTTTTGTTTTTTTTAGTATAGACAGGGTTTTGGCATGTTGGCCAGGCTGGTCTCACCCGAACTCCTGGCCTCCAGTGATCCACCCTCCCAGCCTCCCAAAGTGCTGGGATTACAGACGTGAGCCCCTGTGCCTGGCCTGGACGTTGTTATTTAAATACAAGTTTTTCTTCTTAAATTCAATAAACACTTCATAGGATATGGATTTTAACACATTTACTGAGCACTTACTGGGAACCAGACACTGTTTTAGGCTTTGAGGATACAGCAGTGAATGAGATGGACAGGCCCCTGCCTTAAGGGGCCGACATTCAATAGGGAAGACAGAGTACAAACAAGTGTATAACACATTAGGTGTTGTGAGTGCGTTGAGTAATAAAATGCAAGGTAAGGGGGCAAAGTGTGGGAAGGAGAGCTGCCCTTTCATGTGCAGACTGGTTTGGGAAGGTCTCACAGATGAGGTGGCGTCTTGGATGGAGATGAGAATGCAGTGGGGGAGTGAGCCAGCCAGCCATTGAGGATGCCCAGGAGAGAGCATTCTAGGCAGGGGGAGCCCTGGGCACAGGGCCCTCGGGCAGGAATGTTTTTGCCATGCTGGAGACATGCCGGGAGGAGCACCGAGGCGACCCGAGAGCTGGGAGTAGGAAGTCCTAGTGTAGGTGGATGTTCTCAGTTTAGCTGCATGCTTTTTAACCACCTGGGGAGGTTTTAAAAAAGCCTTGTCCCAACCTCCAAGATTCTGATTGACTTCACCTGGGTAGAGCCTGGGACTTGGTGTTTTTCAAAGTACCCCTCAACAATTGTAGAGTACACTCGGGCTGAAGTACTTTGAAGACCACAATAAAGACTGGATTTGATTCTGAGGGAGGTGGCTTTACTGAGATAAGTGACGTGGCATGCCTTAGGGTTGTAATAGGGTCACTCTAGCCGCCCTGTGGGGGGCGGGGGGCGAGGCCAGGGTGGAGGCAGAGAGGCCCATTAGGAGGCTGTGCGGTAGTTGGGCTTGGAACAGCACGGTAGCAGCAGAGGTGGTGTCAAGTGGTCCAGTTCTGGATGTATTCCAAGGAAGAATCCATGTGATTCGCTCCTGATTGGATGTGGGAGTTGAAAGAGGAGGCAAAAGCCGCTGGAAGGAGGAAAAACTGGGGAAGACTAAGAAGAACAGATCAGGAGTTACACGGTGGACTGGTTGGTGTCTATTTGACATCCATGTGCAGGTGTGGGGTAGATCATTAGATTTCCAGGTCTGGAGAGTTCAGGGAAGAGATGCAGCCAGAGCTCTGGATTTCCACATGTACACATGTGCCTGCAAATAGTATGTGGTGCTGTGCTGAGCTCCCTAGGGAGACAGCGATGGTGGAGGAGAGTGGAGCTGGCTTGGTCATGCTGAGCCGTGCCAGAGGAGACACTTCCCCTTGGTTTTGTTGTCTGAGTATAACGGGGAGTGAGGTTTCTGGTCTTTGTGAGCAGCAGTAGGACTTGAAGTGGGGATGAAAAGGAACAGAAGACCTCCCCACTATAATTCCAGCAAACTCTTCTCAGCCTGTCAACTTTGAGAAGCAGAACAGAAAGTAGAAGATGTGTGATGCGTTAAAAAGGAGATAGATGGGCCTCTGTAAAGTGGTTTGCATGACTTAGAAATATGAAAATAAATTGAACCTGTCAAAAAATTGGGGCTCTTCAACAGCAGCTATGACCCATCTGTTCCTACATCAGTGTGGGGAATCTGCTTCAATGTTGGTGAAGGGCATTGGTGTGCCATTTCCCTGCTCCCTGGGCATTGAGCGCAGCCAGGGTGAGAAGTGCCAGTCCTGCCCTCAGGGCCATGCTCAGTTGGAAACCGAGACTTCATCTCAGAGATGAACCGTCATTCATCTCTTAGATGTTTAGGCACACACTGTCTCTGGGTTAGATGTCCTGCACCAAGCACTGGAGAAGTCAAGGGCAAATTAGAGATGTTCTCTGTCCTGGGAGAGCATCCCCAGTGAGGGGAGATGGACACATTTTGACTAGAGGCAGAGTATCAGGCAGATAAGCAGTACATGCCGGATCACCACATCTCAGGCCCTCCTGCTCACATCTTGTCCTCGTACCTGGCGCTGGTCAGGTTTACAGGGACCCAGTCAAGCCAAGTGAGTTCACAAGACTGATAAACCAGAGAATATGTCAACTCAACAAAGGGATTACACCTTTCTGTTGCCCACAGCACCTCCTTCCTCACATTAGTGTACCCGAAAGCCAAGTTAGTGATCAGAAGATTGCATGGTGAGCTGGGATCAAGTCAAGGGAATTAACCCAGGCCACAGAGAAGCCTGGTGAGTGACCTCTGACCCCACAGCACAGTCCCACCCCGCCAGTGTCCCTGTTCCTGGATGGTGTTCCGTAAACACTGATTCTGCTCTGAGGGCTCCTACTCACAGGTAGATGGCCCTGCCTGGGAACACGTGATAAAGTTCAGTAAGTCACAGTTCTATTCACAGCCTCATTGTGGCTTGAAGTTGAAGCTTCCCAAATCTCCTCAACTGTGTGTTGAGACCATCCATTAATGTTGAGACCTGGAGGTCTTCCCATATTCCTGAGACCTGGGGGCTCCTCACCATAACATACCCTTACAGAGTCTACATGCCATCTATTATGAAACAGTATGGCGTGGTCAGAGCCAAAGCAGAGATGTGACCACAGGACGGGAAACGGCGAAGACCACGTAGGAGTGCCAAGTACACAGGTGTCGAACCATGCTATCCACAGTTACGGATGTGTGTCCCTTTTTTGCCAAGATTGTCAAGTACTTGAGGAAATGCACATCTTTATTTATTGTTGGTGGGAATATAATTTGGGAACCCTCTGGAAGGAAGTTTTGCAATCCTTACCAAAACATAAACCACACAATTGTGAAAAGATGTTTGCCTAAGGATATTCATCATAAGCAGCATTGTTTATAACTTAACAAGCTTAACAGCCACCTAAATGTCCCCGGAGGGGATTAGGTAGGTAAATTTGGGGCAGTATACACAATGGTACACAGCACAGGCTTTTAAAATGGCGGTGTGGCTTTACTGATGTGACAAATGACATGCACTGGATGACCTCACAGAGTAAGACCGCAAATAAACAGATTTGTCTGTAAAGATATTCGCCATTGGTAACTGGTTATCTCAAGAGATGAGAATAATGGGGCAGTTTTAATATTCTTTGTATTTTCAATATTTGGTTCTTTTACAATGAACACAGTAATTTTTAAAGAAAAATAAAGCTGTGGTCCACAGTGGGAGGCAGGATGCTGAGGGGTCTAGACAGAGGGAACTGGACTGCCAGGTGAACGTGACAGCTGAGGGAATGGCAGGTGTCACTGTGACTGTTGTGCCTGGCTGGGCAGGGGCTGGGGGGTGGTGTCATTAACCAAGAGAGTTATTCTGGGTTTCAGCAGGTGGGGGTGGGAAATCCAGCTGTGATGCCAATAAGCAGTGAGTCATCAGTACTGTCTGGAGTGGGGTCCAGGATTTAAGTCACTGGGGAAGGGCAGGGCTGGGATCGGTGAAGTCACTGCTGAGAAGAGGGTCTGGAAGTACACCCTGGAGCTATTTCAGTACTTCTGTTGACGTCACCCTGTGTGGGACCTTTCGTCACACTCCTGTCTCTGCCTTTTCCTTTAATCACTATTGTCTGATCCTCTTGTAACACACGTCTTTCCGGCCCCATGCCGCAGGCCCTGTCCTAGTACCTTATCCTTCTTCTCCGTCTGCCTCCTGCCACCTCCTGGTCCAGGCCTTGTGCATAGCCTCTTAGAGGTCCTCCTGCCTCCAGCCCACCCTCCTCAGCATTCACAGGTGTATTTTCTTAGTACTTTCAGCATGTCATTCTGCTAAAAACTTCCACAGGCTCCACAGGTCCCCTGCCCGGAATTCATAGCTCCTGGTGCCTTGGCCTCCTGGCTCCTGAGAGGGATCCTTGTCGCTCCTGGTGCACACCGTGTGGTCATTTCTGACACCAGCTTCTGCTCATACTATTTAGACTAGTACCCTGGCCCAGGCTTCTTTCCAGTCTAGCCAGACCCTGCCCACCCCGTCCAGCACCCTGTCTGCACTCAGTATTGTTGATGCCACTTGTTTTAATGTTCAGTGAAACACAGCCCTATGTTACTTAATTAGTTTGTGCATCTCCTCAAGTAGATTAGAAAAGTTTCTTTTCTGTTTCTTAGCTGTGTACTTTATTGATGATCTATCAGTGTTTGAGAACTAAACAAATTTTAAGGAATGGGCGTCTCCGTTGAAGGTGGTAGAACTGTACACAGGGGAACAGATCAGAAACCACTAAGTGGGAAGGCCCCTGCAGATTCACCTTGGCTAGGGAAATTTGCCTTCCTACTGTCCTGCTCACTCCCTCAAAGAGCTTCCACCGCAGGATGTTGCTCCTGCAAAGAATTTCCATTATTTTAAACACCCTCAAAAAAACATTTGCCATCAGACAGACTTTCTGAAATACAAACTCAGCTGGAGCTAAATGGCATAGTTAACGATGTTATGGATGATTGTTGTTGTTCTGTCTCTTAAAAACCTGAAAACTGCAACAAGAATTTTACACTCACAAGCACACAGCAGGTACTCAGTCTTTGAATCTGGAGAGGGAGAAAACCAACCAAGATCAGAGAAGGCCCGCTCTGGTGTAGAAAGCTATAGACAGATTATGGCAGTGGCCCGGTTTTAATCTTTGGAGTGGTAAGAGTTCATGATGCAAAGATGCAGATTCATGCAAGTTGTTACCGCTGTCCTCTGCCTCAGTGGAGCGTGGAGAAATGTCTTGCCTGAATTTTCCAGTAGATGCTGTGAAAGGGAACATCACTGACCATCTTCCATTTCTTTTTTTTTTTTTTTACATTGTTATGGTATTTTTATTTTTATTTTTTTATTATTGTTCATTTTTTTAAAATTAATTTATTATTATTATACTTTAAGTTGTAGGGTACATGTGCATAACGTGCAGGTTTGTTACATATGTATACTTGTGCCATGTTGGTGTGCTGCACCCATCAACTCGTCATTTACATCAGGTATAACTCCCAATGCAATCCCTCCCCCCTCCCCCCCATCTTCCATTTCAAATTGTACTTATCCTTTGCTGTTCTCCTGTTCTCCAGTTAAGTGTATTTTGCTGCTTGCTTTTTTTCTTTTTTTTTTTTTTTTCTTTTTTTCCAATTTAGTTTTCTTGCCTGCATTAGGATTACTTAATTTTGTTTCTGGGGAACATGAACGGTCTGTCATTGTATGGTCAGCATGCAAACACACTGAATAAGCACTTGCTGGTGTTAGTGAAGCCTGGTGGGTTCTGGAGCAGTTATAGCATCTCAGGTGTGCCACTGCCATGAAATTCATTCAGCAGGGATTTCTGAAACGGCATGCCAGGCCAGATTCTTGGCATTGGGGTACTAGGAGCGGACGTACCCACAAGTTATCTTAAAAAGGGAGAAATGGATAATAAATAACTTATACATTATATGAGGCAGCAGTAGCATTGTGGAAAAACTAAATTGGAGAATTGGACTAAAGAGTGTGTGGCAAGGTTTGTAGTGCTCTCGGTGGTGATGGAGCCTCGCTGATAAAATAACATGTGAACAGAGACTTGAAGGAGATAAGGAGAGTGACCCATGCTGGGAGAGACACCCTGAGATGAGATCAGGGAAGTTTGGGGTGAGGAGTAGGGTTTTCAGGATACAGATCTATGATCGCTTGTAGGCCAAGAACTTTGGATTTTATCTTGGGGTGGGAAATCATCAGAACATTTGCAGCCCAAGCATAAAACAACCTGACTGCATCAAGGCTCACTCTGGTGGCCACATTGATAGTTTATGGCAGGGAAGCAAGAGCAGAAACGGAGACCCCATAGGAGGCAAGAGATGGTGGTGGTGTGGACCAGAGAGTAGCAGTGGAGTCAGATTCTGGATACATTTGGAAGGTTGATATAAACATCAATAATACATAACTCACCCTAGCACACAGGAGTCCTTTCAGGGTCAAGTGGGCTACCTAGCCAAGCCAAGCCATAAGGCAGGAGAGCATAGGGGCTGTAGTATCTAAGGGGAGAAAACAGGAGTAAATAGGGTGTAACTCACTTCCTTGTTGCAGTTTTCAGGTTTTTAAGAGAACCATGCCTTAGGATTTCTGTGTATGTTCTTGGCACTCGGCACACAGTGCTTAGGTTAGTTACAGAGTAGATATTTAGTGCATCATTCATTTACGCTTATGGAAGGGATTGCCTTTGTTCTGTTTATATTGTGAAACCGAAGTGTTTTTTTGATTTTGTCTTATGCTGAGTGTATATTGTTAAATTTTTTTTTTTTTTTTTTTAGGTGAGAAGCCATTTACTTGTGAAATCTGTGGCAAATCTTTCACAGCAAAGAGTTCTCTTCAGACCCATATCAGAATCCATCGGTAAAGTTTTGCAGATATTTTTCTCACATGGAGGCCTCATTCAGTTCTGATGTTCAGTGAGATGACATGTGTTACCTATGTAGTTTTCTCCCAGTTGTTACTCTGGCAGAATTTTGTGTGTATTTTATTACTTTGGCTTTGTTCGGTTTTGTTCGTTTGTTTTGAGACAGGGTCTCGCTGTTGCCCAGGCTGGAGTGCAGTGGCGTGAGTGGAGTGCAGGTGGGAGTTCAGGCGATTCTCCCACCTCGGCCTCCCGAGTAGCTGGGACACCACACACAGCTAGTTTTTTGCGTTTTTTGGTAGAGACTGGATTTCACCATGTTGACCAGGCTGGTCTCAGGCTCCTGACCTCAAGTGATCCGCCTGCCTGGGCCTCCCAAAGTATTGGGATTACAGGTGTGAGCCACCGCGCCTGGCCTATTTTGTTTTATCTTTTCAATAATGAAATTCCTCACCTAGGTAAAAAGGAATGCTGATTCTGGCCAGTAAAAGTATACATTACTGATTTCATTTATTAAATTTTGACTGGGGCTAGGGATTGGTCCAAAGCTTAAATCTTTGATCAAAAAAAGTATTATATTTGATGTTTTCTGAATAAATGTTTTTGTTTACACAGTTAACCCGAGGTTGGACTTAGGAGTTCTTCTAACAGCATCACAAATAATTAGAGGAAGCTTAAATTTTTTTAAATTGACATCAATCATAGATACTTATTGGGCCATTAGAGTCTAAAAATTGACTGTGAAAACTAAGACAAAACAAAAGAGAACTATATGTTTCATGTATAAATATTTACTCTCTTTTCTTATCTGAAATACATACTGTAGAATCATAAAATTTTATCATATCTAGCCGTGCCCCATCTGACACCCTTTCTCAGGCACCACCCCCACCCTATTTTCAGATTAGAAACTGCCCATGGTTTATGCACATGTACCCTACAACTTACAGTATAATAATAATAAATAAATTTAAAAAAATAAAAAAAAATAAAAAAAAAAGTAAGTTCTATATTGGCATTTAGGGAAATTAACTACTAGGTAAAATATCAGAAGTTCCTAGTCTGGGAAAATGTCATTTAAATTTCAAGGAAATATGTTCCTTGAATTTTAATTCTAACCTTAAAAAAAAAAAAGAAAACTTGGAAAGGTTAAAATACTACATCAAATGCTATAATAAAGATACAAAATTGGTGACAAAAAAAAAAAAAAAAAAGAAACTGCCCATGGAAGTGAGACTTGCTCCAAGTCCTTGAGTTAGTAGCTGAACCCATGACTTGTGACTTGCAGTCTAGTTAATTTTCCACTACTCTTGATTGCTTCCCCCTAAATAATCAGGAAGTAGTAAGTAGGTATTTCCATTTTGAAAATGAAATGTTTATTTTCTCATAGCGGAGAAAAGCCGTACTCGTGTGGCATTTGTGGCAAATCCTTCTCTGACTCCAGTGCCAAAAGGAGACACTGCATTCTGCACACCGGCAAGAAGCCTTTCTCGTGCCCTGAGTGTAACTTACAGTTTGCTCGCGTAGACAACTTGAAGGCTCACTTGAAAATTCATAGCAAGGAGAAGCATGTGTCAGATGCCAGCAGCATTTCTGGCAGTGGTAACACAGAAGAGGTCAGGAATATTCTTCAGCTACAGCCATATCAACTGTCTACCTCGGGAGAGCAGGAAATTCAGCTTCTTGTAACTGATTCTGTACATAACATCAATTTCATGCCCGGTCCCAGCCAGGGAATCAGCATCGTGACTGCAGAGAGTTCCCAGAACATGACTGCAGACCAGGCTGCTAATCTTACCCTGCTCACGCAGCAACCAGAGCAACTGCAGAATTTAATTCTTTCAGCTCAACAGGAGCAAACAGAACACATTCAGAGCCTCAATATGATTGAAAGCCAGATAGGGCCCTCACAGACAGAGCCAGTGCACGTGATCACTCTGTCCAAGGAAACACTGGAACATCTTCACGCCCATCAAGGGCAAACAGAGGAGCTCCATTTAGCTACAAATACTTCAGATCCAGCTCAGCACCTGCAGTTGACACAGGAGTCTGATCCGCCACCACCCACTCACCACGTGCCCCAGCCAACGCCGCTTGGCCAGGATCAGAGCTGACCTGTAAACATGTTTGACTGCTTGATCGGGCTCTTCTCATAAGCCAGCTCTGACTGGATTTTGAACGCTTGAAGTCAGGCTCTCCATACCATCGACTTGCAGATCCTTCTGTGAGAGCTGTGATGGCTAACTGATGTTTATAATGCTCTCCATCCAGGTAGCAAGGTGTGTGTGTGTCTTGTCTAAGGTACTGATTTGGATTGAGCATTTCAATATTGTTGAATGGTTTTCATTTTCATCTGTAACGTCTCCTAAAGACTTGGGTAATTTTTCTTTGGGGGCATTGATTTCAGTTTTTCTGTAAGGTTTAAATGTTCACAGCCATAGGTTGTGGTCTTGCCAACCTCCCCAGTTACGTTCTTTTATTTTCTAGGACAAAGGGAGTCAATTTTGGTTGAACTGGGCAGAATGGTTTGTTCTATTTTCTTATTTTTCTCAGGCAACGCAGTTGTTACCACAAGACAAGTCAGGGCTAAATATGACAGATCACAGTGTGTGGGGAATTTACCCTTTTAATAACTTCCAGTCCCCTAAGACAAAGTAACCCTCAATGTTTCATCTTTGTACAGTACAGAGGGCTTATGGTGTTACACTTCAGGAAGACTCAAACTCATAAACTCAGTGTTTTAACTCAAAATTCATGTAACAAGCTAGCCAAAAGTATAGGATTTTTTTTTTTTTTTTTTTTTTTGAGACGGAGTCTCGCTTTGTCGCCCAGGCTGGAGTGCAGTGGCCAGATCTCAGCTCACTGCAAGCTCCGCCTCCCGGGTTTATGCCATTCTCCTGCCTCAGCCTCCCGAGTAGCTGGGACTACAGGCGCCTGCCACCTCGCCTGGCTAGTTTTTTCTATTTTTTAGTAGAGACGGGGTTTCACCATGTTAGCCGGGATGGTCTCCATCTCCTGACCTCGTGATCCGCCCGTCTTGGCCTCCCAAAGTGCTGGGATTACAGGATTGAGCCACCGCGCCCAGCCTAGGATTTTTTTTTTAATTCTGAATGTATCTTTTCTGAGAAACATAAATTTACATATTTTTTAACAGCAAGCTATCAAAAGTTTAATTAAGTTTAAAATACAAAATTGGATCAAGACATTCACCCTAAATTCTGAATTTTTGTCAGAATGAGACTTGACTTTCATGAAGGTAAAGCTTTCTTCACTATCCTGGAACATAAAATTTTATTCAGTGTAATTTAAATCTTATATGTACTCTATTGAATTCTAACTGATCTCCTGAAAATGTTGATCTGTCTTGTGTCTGATAACTTTCTGGAGATGGAAGCTCATTGTAAGTTTTTATTGCAGATGCCACAAAGTGTGAGTATCTTTTCCTAATCTTTTCTTTTTTAGAGACAGGGTCTCACTCTATCACCCAGGCCAGAGTGTAGTGGCACAATCACTGCTCACTGGAACCTCGAATTCCTGGGCTCAAGCAGCCCTCCCACCTCAGCCTCCTAGTAGCTAGGACTACAAGGATGTACCACCACACCCAGCTAATCTTCTCATCTTAAAAGTAACTTTGAGCCTCAGAGACTTTGTAGCCAGCGTGTGTCTGTAATTGTATGATTTTTAAATCATCATGATAAGATTAAATTATGTTTGGGTTAAGTTTTCAAGCTAAGCATGTTGAATTCTTTTACCACTTTCTTGTAAGCTGGTAGGGAATTTTTGAGAAAAGAAGGTGGGCACCAGTATGTCTAAATTAGTAATGCTGATGGAGAGTAGGGGGTAATCTACTCTAAAATTAATACAGCCTTTCCATCAATTGTTTTGTTTTAGACACCCTTGATATCTACCTAAATCAAATAAGTTATTTGGAGATTAGAGTAATAGAGAATTGTTCAGGTTTGAGAGAAGATAAAAATATTTTGGTTGCATATTTGCTAATCTATATTATGTGTAGTTCACAAAATTTCCAAAATGATGTATATCTTATATGTATCAGCCAAACGAATCTTAAATCAGGCCTCACTAGAGCAAAGATAACAATTTTTTTACAAACACTGTTAAGCCCTAAGTATTATTTCAGGTTCTCGTTTAAACTGTTTAATTTTATTCTTAAAACACAAAGTTTTTGCCAGCTTTTCAGAGCCCACCAATCCACATTTTCTCCAGGGAATTAAATATTTAAGTAAGTGAATTTGTACTCACTCTGGATAGCTAAGTGATTATTCAGAACATATGGTTACACAGCTCTTTGTAAGTCAAGTTTCACTGGTTCTATAACAGTCTACCTCTACACTAAGAGAACTATAACGTGAACAACGTAGGTCACTTTAAATATTCTAGTAGCCACATTTAAAAACATAAAAAGCAGGTGAAAATTTTAATAAAAGTTTATGTAATCCAACGTTTGCCAAATATGTAAAAATGTATTAGACATTTTACATTCTCTTTTTCATACTAAGCTTTCAAAATCCGGTGTGTATTTTACACTTTCTGCACATCTCAATTTGGATGCTAATGTTCATTGAACATACTTGATCTGTATTTAGATTTCATACAACTTACAGATGAAAACAGATTCTCATATCAAGTAGCTACAGACAAAAGTTTTTTTCAAGAATTGAAATAATTATCAGTTTAAAAATTTATATTAAAATTATTTAAAATTAAAATCCAGTTCCTTGTTGCATGGGACACAGTGCAAATGCTTGATAAGCACATGTGGCTACTGGCTGCTATATTGGACAGCATGGGCCACCTGTTTCTAGCTTGAGCCTCAGTCCTAGCTATTCCTGAATTATTTGACCAGCTGTCAAAGAGAAACAAGGAAATGATAGCTTTATCAATCTAGCCTCCTTCATTGTCCCAAATATACGTTCTACCCCTTTGAATAAAAAAGTTTAATGATGCTGGGCGTGGTGGCTCATGCCTGTAATCCCAGCACTTTGGGAGGCCAAGGTGGGCGGATCACAAGGTCAGGGTCGAGGCCAGCCTGACCAACATGGTGAAACCCCATCTCTACTAAAAATACAAAAATTAGCCTGGCGTGGTGGTGTACGCCTATAATCCCAGCTATTCGGGAGGCTGAGACAGGAGAATCACTTGAACCCAGGAGGCGGAGGCTGCAGTCATCTGAGATCGCGCCATTGCACTCAAGCCTGGCGACAGAGTGAGACTCCATCTCAAAAAAAAAAAAAAAAAAAGTTCAATGACTTGAGTACCCAAAAGAAATGTCATGAATATGAAAGTGCTTCTCATGTGTCCTTGAGAAATGATGTTGCTAGTGCAGTGTTTCACGATTCATTTTCCACTAAATGTGTACAATTTTTTAAGTTGTTTTAACAGAAATACAGAGTGTGTTTCTTAGGAAATACAATGTTATGCTTTGGGGCTCCTGAAACACCTCGTTTTGAAGGTGAATCTTTGGTTTTCTCCCAGTAGAGGGTCAACCTTGGGATGACTGGAGCTCTTACCATCAAAATCAGTTATTTAAGTGCTTGCCCAGTGCTTCTTGAAACTCACCTCTACTCTGTATTTTCTACAGTTGGTTCTTGTGTTATAAATGTTATGAGCAATAGATTAAATGATGCTGAGGAATGAAAAAAGATTCTCGTTATAAATGCTTACCTAGGATTCTCATTATAGTTGCTTATCTAGGTTTTCATAAATGGGAACGTAACAGTATCTTCCAAATATGGAGTCCTTACTGTTGGCCAAGCCCGGTCTGTTAAATCTGTAGCATATCTTACTGGGTCTCAAACATCTTCCATGTCATGTCACACAGAATTACAATTTACAACATCTTCCATGTCACGGCACACAGATTTACAACCGGAGGATGCCAGTCCCCTCTGGTCATGACTGGTATATTAGTTTGCCAGGACTACCATAACAAATACCACAGACTGGATGACTGAAAAAATGGAAAGGTCCAAGATCAACGTGTCAGTGGGGTTGTTTTCTTCTGAGGCCTCCCTTCTAGTCATCTTCCCCTGCCTGTATCTTCACATGTCCTTCCCTCTGTCCTACTCTCTTTTAAGAACACCAGTTATATGGGATCAGCCTACACTAATGTTCTCATTTATTCATCTTTTCAAACACAATCCCATTCTGAGATGCTGGGTATTAGGACATCAACATGTGAATTTGGCATAGGGGGACACAATTTACCTCCTAACAACTGGCGTCTGAGTGAGGAGGGGAGCAGTATCTGGGACACACCTTAGCCACTGGAAGCATGTCTCATCTTAATCTTCATGACATTCTGATGAGATGAGTAATTATTATGCCTATTGGACAGATGAGAACATGGAGCCCAAAGAGGAAGTCTGTTGCCAAATGTCATACAGTAAGTGGTAGAACCAGAACTAGGGCACAGGCTTTTAAAACTTTAAACTGGATTTCTTCTTCCCAAAGTTAATAGAACCAAAAGAAAAGGATAATTTTCTTATGAAATAAGTAATTTATTATTAAATAAGTAATTTATTTCCTACTAAGTATTAAAAATTACTTATTTAATAAGAACTTACTAATTAATGTGACCTGCTTAATGTAATAGAACTTTCTGACTAAAATTGAGGGTCTATGTCTGAAATTATAGCATACTTTTTTTTTTTAAGTGGAGACGGGGTCTCACTATATTGCCAGGCTGGCCTCAAACTCCTGGCCTCAAGCAGTCCTCCCACCTCGGCCTCCCAAAGTGCTGGGATTATAAGTATGTGCCACCGGCATACAATTATAACCTTTTTACGTAAAACAATAATAGTGAAAGTTATGGCCTACAGAAATTCAGTAACTACCATATAATCAGTGTTTCACTACTATTGATTTAAGGCTTAATTAATAAGAAAATGTGGCACATATGCACCATGGAATACTATGCAGCCATAAAAAAGGATGAGTTCATGTCCTTTGCAGGGACATGGATGAAGCTAGAAATCATCATTCTCAGCAAACTAACACAGGAACAGAAAACCAAACACTGCATGTTCTCACTCATAGATGGGAATTGAACAACGAGATCACTTGAACACAGGGCAGGGAACATCACACACCAGGGCCTGTCGTAGGGTCGGGTGCTGGGGGAGGGATAGCATTACAAGAAATACCTAATGTAAATGACAAGTTGATGGGTGCAGCAAACTAACATGGCACATGTATACATACATATGTAACAAGTCTGCACCTTGCGCACATGTACCCTAGAACTTAAAGTATAATTAAAAAAAAAAAAAAAAAGCTTAAGCAAAATTTTCCAGTTGGATAAAAGTTACTAGTAAGGTGAAAATGTCGTAGGTAACAGGAGCCTCTGTAAGTGAGCCCTTTTTTCAAATTTTTGACAGGATATTTTAAGTTTAGGGTAGGTTTGTTTTATTTTCGTTATCCTTATAAGCATTAAGGTAAAATTTCATCTTCAGTTTCTAAACTTAAGCATAAATTCTTAAGAATTGAAAAAAAACTCTTTGTCTTGCTTTTATAAATAGCAGATAAAGAGGAATGACCTGTAAAAACTCTGCTTACCTCCTTTTGTAAATAGCAGCTCTCAAGGAGTGACCTCTAAAAGAAGCTGGAATGTCATGATAGTTTATCATGCTCTCAAATTCTGTACACATAATTAAGCAGCAAGACTAGTTGACTGGAGTGTGTGTGTGTATTTATATATGTATTCCATTCTAACTTGAAACATAGTACATCAACAGCTTTTAAACCAAAGCTCATTTGATTACATTTTTTTTTTTTATAGGGTCTTGCTCTGTCACAGGCTGAAGTGCAGTGGCATGATCATGGCTCACTACAGCCTCTTAGCCTCCTGAGTACCTGGGACCACAGGCATGCACCACCATGCTCAGCTAATTTTTAAATTTATTTTAGAGATGAGGTCTCACTACATTGCCCAGGCTGGTCTCAAACTCCTGAGCTCAAGTGATCCTCCCACCTCAGCCTCTCAGTGCTGGGATTACAGACACAAGCCACTTTGCCACATTCTCAGTAATACAAAATGTAGGAATTTAAATACATTTTGGTAACAGCAAGGGATCTTAGCTTTTTTACGTGAGTCTGAAAAGTGGTACTATATTCAGTGTGAAGTGTGAAAAAAGGAAAAAATTTGAGCAGGGGTCAGGGTAGAAAACTTTTCTTCTGAATTCCTAATATCCATAATATGTCACTTTAAATATAATTCAAAGATGATTTTCCAAAAGAACAGTTTGGGTCTTGGTTTTAGTTCATTCATATTATTTTTATCCTTGTTAAATGAAAAGTCAAACTGAAGCTTCCTTAGACTAAATCAAAGTTCAAAGCTACATTTTAAAAATCCACCTCTCAAGATAATTTTTGTTTGATTAAGTGACTTCTGGATAAATGTTTCTTATAATCTTAGTGTTTGAAGGGCAAAGGCAGTCTTATTACAAAAATATGGGCAAGTATTTAACTGATCCTGAACCTATTTGTATGTTTAATCTTTGCAGCCTCTCAAGGTAGAGTCCTTGTGTTATCTCAGAGTATGAAATCATAATTGTGCTTTGACTTCTGGGGAAAGTATTGAGTAAAAAGCAGCATACAGAGGAATAAGGTTGGAAGGAAGAATAGAAAAGAATGGGGGCCCCAAATTTGTGATTTACCCACTCCAAGCCAAGAGAGAAAGCTGGGTGTCATTCTTGAAGGAGCCCACCTCACCCCCACACCCAATTCATGGCCATGTTATGTCAATTTCACCTTGAAATATCTTTTGAATCCATCCACTTCTCTCATCCTCACTGTACAACATGTCACTTGCCTGGATTCCCGACAAAGACCTGATTGATCCTTTCTACTACCTCCTGCTGAGCTTTCTCCACTGGAAGTGGTGATCTGTTTGGGCTCACCATTGTACCCTTAGCTTAGGATCAAACACAGGGCCTTGCTAAATGAATGGATTTGCATTAGTTATTAAGATGAATATGACCGTGTCTCTGCTCTGCTTAAAATCCTTCTACAGTTTCCCTTGGCCTTTAGAATAAAATCTCCAATCCAACTTCCTCTTGGGACTCTCTTCCCCATTCTCATTTCCAGTCATGTGGGTTCCTTGCTGTTCCTCAAACATAGTCAGTTCTTTCCTGCCTGAGGGCTTTGTGGCAGGTGATTTCTCAGCCTTGAAAGTTGTCTGCCCTTACTGTGATTCATGACGACTCATCTGTCCTCTAACCTCAATCAAACCACCTTGTCACATCCTCTCATGGCACTCGCTACACCTTTGGCGCAGATGTCACTGTTTTTACATCAGGGTCTCTGTCTCTCTGGCCATGCTGCAGCCACAGCTTCCTGGCCCAGGACCATGGGTTTGTTGCTTGAAGATACTGGCCCACAGGTACAAAGCCATATTATAGGGTGACTTAAACATGTCACCTGCAGTACTAGAGACCCAGTTTCTGGCCCCAGGCCCAGGAGATGAGAAGTTGGAAGGTGACAGAACATGGTATGGGGCAGAGAAAAGGAGATCCTGTCTTCATGGCTCAGGTGTTTAACCTAGGCTACTGCTAGGTTTTACCGTTCGCAAAAACATTAGAATAGGACTCTTATTTTTGTTTTTTGTTTTTGTTGTTGTTTGTTTGTTTGAGATGGAGTTTCGCCCTTGTTGCCCAGGCTAGAGTGCAACAGCGCCATCTCAGCTCACCGCAACCTCCGCTTCCCGGGTTCAAGTGATTCTCCTGCCTCAGCCTTCCTGAGTAGCTGGGATTACAGGCATGAGCCACTATGCCCGGCTAATTTTGTATTTTTCATAGAGACGGGGTTTCTCTGTGTTAGTCAGGCTGGTCTTGAACTCCTGACCTCAGGTGATCTGCCTGCCTCAGCCTCCCAAAGTGCTGGGATTACAGGCATGAGCCACCGTTCCCAGCCTTAGAATGGGACTCTTTTTAAGCTGACTTCATGTACCACCCACTTATTTGATCCAATGTGAATTGGCCAATGTGATTGTGTCAGTATTTTTAGTTCTATATACACATAATTTGAATCATGACTCAAGATTCTAATTAAGGAGAGAAACTCTTGTAGTTAAACAATAAATAGCTTTAATAGAGTTTTTTTTTTTTTTTTTTGGAAGAAATTCTAAGTGGAACGTAGTTTGGGTCTTCTAGTCTGTTCATTTCTTAGGGCAACATTGAATGATAGGATTTTGGAGTAGAAATGGACTGAGGCTGAGTAATTAAATTGCCTCCATTTAGAGAATGGGTAGACGGAAGTGTGGCTGGTGATATCCAAGGTCAGACTAGGCTAGCGTGAAGGAAAGCTGGAATCCAACCAGACCTTCTGGATTCCAGAACAATGTATTCCCTGCTGCTTTATGCCCCCATGTTAAGTATTTAATTAGCATGAGTTGAAACTCCAAGTCAGCAGTTTTTAGCACTGATGAACTCATTATTGTTCTCTGATCTTTTTTAAAGACAAATTTTATGATGTGTCATTCATAGAGCCACATGACCCTGTTTGGCAGAAGGCACTGAGTCAAGCCAGACCCCACTGAGCCTTTGCAAAGGCAGTAAGTGGAGCGGCTAGTTGTGTGCCATCTGCTAGTGAAAGGGAAATGAGATTATTCTAGAAGCCCAGGACTGACTCTAGATCTCTTAAGGTCTCTGGATCTCAAGGACAGCAACTCTCTTACTTATTCTTCAGTTTTATTAGTGTTTCCAGTGTAACAGTGTTACTTCCTCTAAACAAGACATAGCTTCTCTTCCTATAATGCCAACCTTTCACGTGTCATTTTGAATCAACCCTGGGTTGGTGGAGCCCAGGGTAACCCAACTGTAGTGGACTTTAGAACGTTTTTACACTATGTATTTAAATATGGGTGTGTCTGATATTCGGCAAATTAATTTCAAGCCAAATGATGTGTCACACTCAAGAGCTAGGATGGGCCCAACTGAGAGGCTGCCCTGATTTTCTGAGCGTGACCTGACTGAATTCCCTCGCCTCTCCTGGCAGAGGACATTTCCCCTTGCTTTCCTCCCACTGCCTGCTTCTCAGCTCGAGCTGGGAACAGTGAGTGTTCAGGTCTTACTGGGTCTCAGAGATTTTTCAGATGAAATGCAAAATGAGAATAAAGGGAGAGCCCTATTGCTTCCCAGCTCTTCATGGTCTCTGGATCTCAAGGACAGCAACCCTCTTATTTATTACTGGGTTTTATTAGTGTTTCCAGTGTAACAGTGTCACTTCCTCTAAACAGGAAACAGCTTATGCCAGCCTTTCATGTCATTTTGGGTCAACCCTGGGGTGGTGGAGCCCAGACAGACCTGGGCCCCCAAACAGCTCTGCCACTTGCTGTGTGCAGGTCACAGAATCTCTGTGACTCAGTTTACTTTCTGGTAAAATGGGACTCTTGCAAGCACTGACGTTGAGGTAATACTTATAGGATGACGGTCAATAAATGAGACGATGTTTTTAAATATTAACTAGCTGAAAGACTGGAGGCGTCCCTTCACTTGAGGCGCTGTTTCCTCATCGGGAAAACGACGAAGCTGATCCCAAAGGCCTCTTCAGCCCTTTTCAGCAGACACTCCCGTGGGTCCTCACTCTAAGGCATTCTTGAACATTGAAAACTGGGTCTCCCTTTCACACACCTCTCCTATTCCCCATCTTTTAGTGGTGGTCTAACCCGCCCGGCCATCCCCTTCCCTCTCACTTCTCATAGCCATTTGGAAGCTGCAGATTGCTGAGTTTCCAGGTCTTTAATCTGCGCTCTTTGCCCTTGGCCCGGGATGAGGGGCCGACCTGTCTCAAGGGAGGCGCACTCCGCGCTAGGATCCATCCTGGGGCGCCCGGGCCGTGGATCTCCAGGTGGGAGACGGGAGGAGAGCGCAGACGTTCCGGCGCCACCCTCGGACCCGCCGGCTTTTCCAAACCTCTTGAGGAGCCCGAGCGCCCTCTCGGCCCGGCGCTAGGAGGCTGCCGGCGGACCTGGGACCGCGCCGGGATTGGGGGTGGTGCGGGTGGTCCTCGCTCGCCGCGGGGAAAGCTAGCCTTGCACACGCAGGCGCCGGGAAGGAGCCCAGACCGAGGGTGCGTGGTCCAGCACCGGGAGCCCTGACCCTGGAACTCCTCGGCCCCCATCGGGCCAGACCCATACGGAGGCCTCAGAGCCGAACCGGGAGACCGCAGCGCCACGCCCTAGGGCGCCACCCTGCAGGCGTGGGCGGGCCCGGGACTGTCCCCGCTGGAGGCGGTGGGGGGGATCCAGAAGTAATAAGATGCTAATGAAGCGCGAATAAAGCCCCGGCGGCGCCCCGCGCCCCTCGCGGAAGCCACACTCCGCGGCACTCCAGGCGCACGCCGGGGGCCGCCCCGCGTCCCAGCATCCCCGCCCGATCTCGGCGTTTCCGACCCCGCCCTCCCACCCGCTCAGACAGGGTTACCAGCCCGGCAGGAAGCGGCCCGTCCCGGCCCCGGAACCGCCGGTAAGTCGTCCAGCGGAGCGGGCTGCGCGCCCCGCGGCTGCGTGGAGTGAGGTGGGGTGCGCTTCCGGGGAAATGCGGCCGCGGGCGCTCGGGAACCACGCCTGGCAGGTCGGGCAGGTCTTCCCTCAGCCCAGCCTTGCTCACCCCGCGTCCGGACTTTGTCGTCGAGAGTGTCGGGGACCCCCACTGCTGTCACCCGCGGACCAGCTCCCTCTCCATCCTTTCAGACCGCTCCACCTCTCTCACAGCCTTTGTCCTGGCGTTTCCAGGCTGAGTCGCCCCTTTCTTCCCTTTCGCCGAGGTCTTCCTCCTTCCACTCTCCACCCCCAAGAAGGATCTTTGCCCTTCCGTCTTAAGATTCCGTCTGCCTTCGTCCGGGCGGCCCGCAGCGGGAGGCTTTCATCTCTTGTCTCGGCGCGGCGGGCTGGGAACGGAGGAGCAGCTGGAGGGTGGAGGGGCCAGAGCCCTAGAGACGTGCCCCCGCTGCTGCCACTCACCCTCCCTAACGCTGCCATGAACACCCGCCTCCTCCATACCCTCTGATCCCTTCCAGGCCCCGCGTGAGAAACCCCCTCGGGCACTCTTCAGGTGGCGTGGGAGCGGGCGACAAAGCGAGGCCTTGTCTCCGGAGATTCTTGGGAGAGCGCGCCCGGGCGCACAGGGGGCGGGGCGGGGTCGATCGGGGAGGGGGGAGCCTAGGAGGGGCGAATCCGGCTGCAGTCGACCCCCAGCACTACCCACGGCCCCCTGGAGCAGGGCACATTCACAGAGGAAGTGTTTTGACCACAGTGCATCAGAAATAGACCCAGACCTCTGTTCCCCAGTCAGTCGCAACATCCTCCTGCCGTTTGTTGAGGTAGTTTGGTGGTGGGAAGTGGAACCCACGGGCAGAGGCTGTTTCTCTGTCAGGAGGCAAGCACGAGTGCTGAGGAAAACTTTGCCCTTGCCATGAGGCACTTCTCACACCCAGCGTGGCACTGAGGCCATCGAGGGGCGCCCGGCACAGGACGTATGGAGGGAGATGGGGCAGGATATGTGCGCAGCAGCTGGGGTCGTGGGTATCAGATCTGTCCATGTGTTGCATACAAAGGCAGCTCTGTCCTCTCCACATCTAAGAAGTCCCCCCACGCCCTGATTCCAAGGCCTAAGGAAGGCAGGCTAAGAATTCCTACCCAACGGCTTGGAGATCCCTGGACAGGGAGGCTGAGCTGGAGGCTCCCCTGGTGTCCCATCTGCCCTCTGTGCCCAAGACTAATGTTTTTCACTTCCAAATTTGGCAAATCTCACTTGGGAGTGGACGGGATAGCAGCTGTCTCTGGAGCAGATGCTGGCAGGGGAGTGGGCTGGGAGGAGCAAAGCCAATCACTGGTGAATCCCGAGTTCCCTGGGGACACCAGCCTGCTCTCTTCGCCTCCCCTTCTTTTTTATTTCTTCTGTTCTCCAGCCTCTTCCCCTTCTTTTTCCACCTCTCCAGCCACTTGCCTCTGCCCAGCTGCTGCCCTCCCCGGGAGCCCCAGGGAGGCCTCCATGGCTTCACCCACCTCCACCAACCCAGCGCATGCCCATTTTGAGAGCTTCCTGCAGGCCCAGCTGTGCCAGGACGTGCTGAGCAGCTTCCAGGAGCTATGTGGGGCCCTGGGACTGGAGCCCGGTGGGGGGCTGCCCCAGTACCACAAGATCAAGGACCAGCTCAACTACTGGAGTGCCAAGTCACTGTGGACCAAGCTGGACAAGCGAGCAGGCCAGCCTGTCTACCAGCAGGGCCGGGCCTGCACCAGCACCAAGGTGGATACACCTGGGATGGGGTGTGGAGAATGGGGGGAGTCAGAGGAGGGACAGGATGCCATGCCCTCACTGCCCTGTGTGTTCACAGTGCCTGGTGGTGGGTGCCGGACCTTGTGGGCTGCGGGTCGCTGTGGAGCTGGCACTGCTGGGTGCCCGAGTGGTGCTGGTGGAAAAGCGCACCAAGTTCTCTCGCCACAACGTGCTCCACCTCTGGCCCTTCACCATCCACGACCTGCGGGCACTTGGTGCTAAGAAGTTCTACGGGCGCTTCTGCACTGGCACCCTGGACCACATCAGTGAGCACCGCATGGTGGCCTGGAGGGGCGGGTGAGCCTGGGCTTATAGGCAGGCCAGTGGGGAAATGCTGGGCCAGCCAAGAGTCGAAGTAGACAAGATCCATATCAGCCAGGTGACCTTGAAGATTCAGGTCCCCCATCTATAAGTGGTCTTTTGGGCTGAGTGATCGCTACGACCTTTTCCAGTCTGACCAGGCACACACTGGTACATGGGGAGCTTGTGCTGCCCTAGGGTCCCTGTTCCTAATGTCCTCTCCCTTCCAGGCATCCGGCAGCTCCAGCTGCTTCTGCTGAAGGTAGTATTGCTGCTGGGGGTGGAAATTCACTGGGGTGTCACTTTTACTGGCCTCCAGCCCCCTCCCAGAAAGGGTAAGTATTTCTATGCTCCCTGGAACCTCCCCCTCCCCCATCAAGAACTTGGCCAATATCTGAAAAAGGGTGGGCCAGAAGTGGCCTTTTTTGTTTTTGTTTTGTTTTGAGACAGAGTCTTGCTCGCTCTGTCACCCAGGCTGGAGTGCAATGGCACAATCTCGGCTCACTGCAACCTCCGCCACCCAGTTTCAAGCGATTCTCCTGCCTCAGCCTCCCGAGGAGCTGGGATTACAGGCATGTGCCACCATGCCCAGCTAATTTTTGTATTTTTTTAAGTAGAGATGGGGTTTTGCTATATCAGCCAGGCTGGTCTCGAACTCCTGACCTCAAGTGATCCACCCGCCTCGGTCTCCCAGAGTGCTGGGAATACAGGTGTGACCCACCACGCCAGCTAGGAGTCTCCTTTTCTTTTTTTTTTTTTTTTGAGACGGAGTCTCGCTCTGTCGCCCAGGCTGGAGTGCAGTGGCCAGATCTCAACTCACTGCGAGCTCCGCCTCCCAGGTTCATGCCATTCTCCTGTCTCAGCCTCCCGAGTAGCTGGGACTACAGACGCCCACCACCTCGCCTGGCTAGTTTTTTGTATTTTTTAGTGGAGACGGGGTTTCACCGGGTTAGCCAGGATGATCTCATCTCCTGACCTCGTGATCCGCCCGTCTTGGCCTCCCAAAGTGCTAGGATTACAGGCTTGAGTCCTTTTCTAATAGTGTGGCCCTGGGCAAGCAACTCTGAGCCTCAGGTTGAGCATTTGCAAAACAAGAATAGCACTTCCTTCCTTACCTGCCTTCCATGGCTGCTGTGCAGGTATAATCTGATAGATAATATATCATTGCTTTCTAAACCAGAGAGCCCTTTATACATGTTTTGATGATTTCACTAGCTTGCCCTGAGAGTATAGGGGCTCTTACGACTTCTACACCTTTGTGCATCTCATACCCTCTGCCCCAGGGAGTGGCTGGCGTGCCCAGCTCCAACCCAACCCCCTTGCCCAGCTGGCCAACTATGAATTTGACGTCCTTATCTCCGCTGCAGGAGGTAAATTCGTCCCTGAAGGTGAGTGATCACTTCCCTCAAAGAAGCCAGCATCTCTGGCACCTCCTGGGCCTTTCTAGATTGTTATAACACCCTCCTCCTGCCATTGTTCACCTACCGCCACCTCTAGGCTTCAAAGTTCGAGAAATGCGAGGCAAACTGGCCATTGGCATCACAGCCAACTTTGTGAACGGACGCACCGTGGAGGAGACACAGGTGCCGGAGATCAGTGGTGTAGCCAGGATCTACAACCAGAGCTTCTTCCAGAGCCTTCTCAAAGCCACAGGTCAGGGACCCTCTTGCTGAATTTCCCCTCCCCTTGCCTGACCGTGGCCTGGCTCCTGCCTCTCCCTTCCAAACGTGTCCTCGCTGCAAGGAACTCCACACTTTTCTGTTTTTTGGTCTCAGCCGCAAAGGAGAAGGAAACTGTCCTGTCAGGGATTAAGCAGGCACAGCCCTAGTTGACCACCCAGCATGAAAAGTCCTGGAATCTCTCAAAGATGAACCTGTGTATGGGAGTTTTGCTTAAGTGGTACTTCAAGAAGATGCCTATGTTTACTTTGGCTTTGCACTGCCATGTGACCAGGTGGTGCAGGTCTCCCAAATGCCACCCCATCCAAGCTTCCCTCTTTGCTCTAAGCCCTCAAGCCTCCTGGGCCTGGGGCAGATGGTTGGTTGTGTCATCAGGACTCACAGGGTTCTACGTGTGGAGCACTCACTGCAGCCTAAGCTGGGATCCGAGCTCAGAGGTCTGGCCATGTTGGGATGTTTGGGGAAGGTGATACATTATCAGGAGACATATCTCCTCTCCCCTGCCCTGTACCCCCAGGCATTGATCTGGAGAACATTGTGTACTACAAGGATGACACCCACTACTTTGTGATGACAGCCAAAAAGCAGTGCCTGCTGCGGCTGGGGGTGCTGCGCCAGGTGAGGCCCAGTTCTGGCCGGGAGAGGCTGGGTGGTGAGCCCCGGGAGGCAGAGGCTAGGCTTGGACATAGTCGACACCTGGGTGTGGGGACCCCGTCCTCTCCTGCCTTTGTCCTGGCATTAATTTCACCTCTAAAAGTTCTCTCGGCCAGGCATGGTGGCTCACGCCTGTAATCCCAGCACTTTGGGAGGCCGAGGCAGGTGGATCACCTGAGGTCAGGAGTTCAAGACCAGCCTGGCCAACATGGTAAAACCCCGTCTCTACTAAAAGTACCATAAAAAATAACTGGGCCTGGTGGCGAGCGCCTGTAATCCCAGCTACTCGGGAAGCTGAGGCAGGATAATCATTTGAACCTGGGAGGTGGAAGTTGCACTGAGCCAAGATTGTGCCACTGCACTCCAGCCTGGGCAACAAAATGAAACTCTGTCTTTAAAAAAAAAAAAAAAAAAAAAAAAGTTATTTACCCTGGGATTTACAAGGCAACAGAAATCATATTCTGGGCTAAACACCTTATACCAGCCACAGTAGATATGTGTCAGCTCCCTGAGGACAGGCATTTTTGTCTCTTTGTTGCTTGCTGCTAATTGCCAGTACCTGGAACAGTGCCAAATACATAGTAAGCACTCAGTATGTATTTGCTGAATGAATGAATTCAGCAATGTGCTAGATACTGTGTTTAGAGTTACATTTGCATTGTCTCATCTAATTCTCATGAGTACCCTGAGAAATTAGGCATGTTGTCTCTAAGTGATGGACAAACTAAAGCTCTTGAGTTTGTGGCAAGTATATGACAGTAGTGATATAGGCAGAACGGCCTGGGACCCCAGCAGCAGGGTGAGTGCTGAGGAAGGGGCTTTGAGAATTCCAGGCTACTGGAATTCTAGTCCCAGCTCAGCCTTCAACTGCTGTGTAGTCTAGGGCAGCCCCTTCCTTCTCTGGGCCCCAGGATGTGCACCTTCTGCGCCCAAGGGGGCGGCACTGGCCCACTGACCCTGCTCTCAGAGGTCTCTGAGGTTCTGCTCTGTTGACCATACAGGACTGGCCAGACACCGATCGGCTGCTGGGCAGTGCCAATGTGGTGCCCGAGGCTCTGCAGCGCTTTGCCCGGGCAGCTGCTGACTTTGCCACCCATGGCAAGCTCGGGAAACTAGAGTTTGCCCAGGATGCCCACAGGCAGCCTGATGTCTCTGCCTTTGACTTCACAAGCATGATGCGGGCAGAGAGTTCTGCTCGTGTGCAAGAGAAGCATGGCGCCCGCCTGCTGCTGGGACTGGTGGGGGACTGCCTGGTGGAGGTGAGGGGTTCCGGAGGCACAGGAGTTTCATGGTTAGGGGAGGGAGGTTAGCCTAGTATGGAGGAGGGGATAAAAAGGTCTGCCTGTGGAGGGGAGGAGCTAAGGGCTGCCTGGTGTGGGGACAGCCCCTTCTGCTGTGATCTTGGTGGGTGTCTGGGCTTGGGATGCACCTGTTGGATTCTCCCTGAGCTACTTCCTATTCCTCTGACACTGCAGCCCTTCTGGCCTCTGGGCACTGGAGTGGCGCGGGGTTTCCTGGCAGCCTTTGATGCAGCCTGGATGGTGAAGCGGTGGGCAGAGGGCGCTGAGCCCCTAGAGGTGTTGGCTGAGCGGTGAGACCTGAGTTGAGGGGGGTGTGGGCAGGGCAGGGCAGGACATGTGACAAGGCTCAGGAAGAGGGGAAGGGGTGCTGGGTGAATAGATGGAGGAAATAGGCAGAAGGCCTGGCAGTTCCTGAGGGATGGGTGCTGACAGGTGCCCTCCCATTCATGCCCCTGCCCCTTACCCTCACCCCCTCAGTGAGAGCCTGTACCAGCTTCTATCACAGACATCCCCAGAAAACATGCATCGCAATGTGGCCCAGTATGGGCTGGACCCAGCCACCCGCTACCCCAACCTGAACCTCCGGGCAGTGACCCCCAATCAGGTCAGACCCCCGGCACCCCCACCAGGCTTCCCAAGCCAACCCCCTCCCCCGAGGTCAGGCCCTCCCTGCCCAGTCACTGCCCTTTGGGGTCAATCCTACCCCCGGCAGGCCCTTACCCCTGGACTGAGGGGCTGTGTGGCCAGCCTGCCTTGAGACCTGAGCGGGGCTGCCTTAGGTACGAGACCTGTACGACGTGCTAACCAAGGAGCCTGTGCAGAGGAATGACAAGACAGATGCAGGGATGCCAACCACCGGTGAGCAGACCTTCTTCCTGAGCGGTGACCAAAATATGTACTACCCAGCGAGGCCTAGGTGGCCCCCGCAAAGCAGCTGCAGCCTCAGGACAGGAGCAGCGTGCCGGAGCACTCGTTGTTGCTGGTGGGTTGGTTGGGGGCCTGCTGGAGGAACAGAGGGGCAGCACCGCACAGGCAGCAGCTGGCTGCCAGTCTGAGTGGAAGTGCTTCAGTGTTTTAACCACCACTACAGCCACAGTGGTGCTGGCAATCTCCCCTGCTCCCAGTTTAGTCTGCTGCCCTCTATGTGGCCAGTTGCGATTTCACTTTATTCACTCCTCTAGTTTATTCCAAAGAGATTTTTTAAAAAGAGAATTGGGATGAAGGAGGGCTGCTGACAGTGAGCTTTAGGTTGGTGCTCTAGTAGAGGTGGGTCCCTGGCTCCTCCTCCCCTACGGAACCCCCACACCCAGCAGCTGGGCTCCCTATATGCCTGGGATGGGCAGAGGGGGCCTTGGGCACAGCGCAGCCTTCTCTCCCAGGGTCGGCAGGCGGGTCGGCAGGCGGGTCGGCAGGCACCCAGGAGGAGCTGCTACGCTGGTGCCAGGAGCAGACAGCTGGGTACCCGGGAGTCCACGTCTCCGATTTGTCTTCCTCCTGGACTGATGGGCTAGCTCTGTGTGCCCTGGTGCACCGGTTGCAGCCTGGCCTGCTGTGAGTCCCAGGCAGACCCACCTCTCTCTCATGATCTCAGTGTAGGAGTTAGCACATCCAGCTGAGTCCTAGAGACAGTGTGCTTCCTTGCATCTGCCGACAGTCTTGTGGGACTCTAATGCATTCAGATAGTGGAGAGCTTTGTGAATGGCACAGGCCCCCAAAGCCACTAGTGTCACTGGGTTGGGCACTGGGTAGCAGAGACCACACACCTACCTTCAAGCCTTCTTGTACCCCAGCCACTGCTTGCTGTCCCTCCCCTCCTGCTGCCCCTTCTCCCCTCAGTGGGGCTAGGTTCTTGTCTCTAGTTGGCTTTTCTCCCTGACACCCCACAGGGAACCCTCAGAGCTGCAGGGGCTGGGGGCTCTGGAAGCAACTGCCTGGGCACTAAAGGTGGCAGAGCATGAGCTGGGCATCACACCGGTGGTGTCTGCACAGGCCGTGGTGGCAGGGAGCGACCCACTGGGCCTCATTGCCTACCTCAGCCACTTCCACAGTGCCTTCAAGAGCACGGCCCACAGCCCAGGTGACTTGAAAGGAAGGTGGGCAGGATAGGTGGGATGGGGAGGTGTCTGTGTGTGTGACAGAAAGAGGGAGAAGGCACCCTCTGAGGGCCAGCTTGGGAGAGGTGTCCTTCTGGGTTGGGGAGTGACTGTCTGTTTTGGGGGTACAGTGTTGGCAACCCCATCCACACTGATGCCCTGGCTCTCCCTGCAGGCCCTGTCAGCCAGGCCTCCCCAGGGACCTCCAGTGCTGTATTATTCCTTGGTAAACTTCAGAGGACCCTGCAGCGGTCCCGGGCCAAGGTGAAGAGTCTAGGCAGGGCTGGAACTGGGCAGGGAGGAGTGGGCAGGGGGTACCCAGTGGAGATCCTGGAGTGATGGTGAGGACATTCAGAAAGTGGCAAGGACTGGGGGCTCAAAACGTCACTCTCAGAGCTGTTAGGACTTATTGCAGGAAAATGCAGAGGATGCTGGTGGCAAGAAGCTGTGCTTGGAGGTAAATGCAGGCAGGGGCGGGTGGGTCTCCTACCCCACATTTTATCCCCTTTCCTGATACTGTCTTCACGATTTCTCATCGCCCCCATCCCAGGTCCTAAAACCCCCTATCCAGCCTCCCTGCCTAGCCTCACTCCCCTTCCCTTCAGCCCCTTCTGTTCATCTGTACGCATCCCCTCCCAGCTGGCCCTGCCCCTCTACCCTCCCTGCCTGAGCACTTACCTCCTTAGATGGACGCCGAGACCCCAAGTACTGAGGTGCCACCTGACCCAGAGCCTGGTGTACCCCTGACACCCCCATCCCAACACCAGGAGGTGAGAGCCAGGGCCTCGTGTGCGGCCAGAGGCCTGGGGAGGGCAAGGCGGGGACGTTTCATGGGAGGGAAAGAACTTTGGAGCTGGCCTTGGCTCTGCCTGACCCCGTGTCCTGGGGGTCCATGCAGGCTGGTGCCGGGGACCTGTGTGCACTTTGTGGGGAACACCTGTATGTCCTGGAACGCCTCTGTGTCGACGGCCATTTCTTCCACCGGAGCTGCTTCCGCTGCCACACCTGTGAGGCCACACTATGGCCAGGTGGCTACGAGCAGCACCCAGGAGATGGTGAGTGGGCCTGGGAGACTTCCAGAGAGACTCTTGGCCTGGTCCTGCCTGGGGGACAAAGAGCTTGAGGTAGAGGGGCACAGGGTGGAAACAGGCTCAAGATGGCACTTCGTTCTCCTGAGCTCAGGGTCTTCTCTGTCCCCTCCAAAGCTCCAGATATGTGGTTCTGAGGAACAGGAGGCTGGTAGAAATTCACCTGCAAATCTGTCTTGTTTTCCCCACCTTCCTTCATAAACTTGTTGCGTGTCTGGGCACTGGGCTGCCCACACCAGATGCCTCCTCTCTCTACCCTTTCCAGGACATTTCTACTGCCTCCAGCACCTGCCCCAGCCAGACCACAAAGAAGAAGGCAGTGATGGAGGCCCCGAGAGTCCGGTAAAGACCGTGAAGGCATGTGTGTGTACTGGGGCATGGGAAGAGGAAGAGGGTCTCATCAAACCAGCGCTCTGCTGGGGGTAACTGAATGTCTTTCTCTACTAGCATGTAAGCTCTGTGAAGGCAGGGATGCCTGTCTGCTTACACTTCTTGTTCTCTCAAGTATCTAAAACACAGCCGGACACTGTTCGTAAACAGTTTTAAGCAAATGAATGCCAAGGCTCACTTTTGCTCCAAAGGGGTAGCCTCACCCCGCAACCTCACCCCACCCTGGGCAGGTCACTGACCAGACCACATGGTGGCTTTTCCAGGAGCTCCCCACACCAAGTGAGAATAGCATGCCACCAGGCCTCTCAACTCCCACAGCCTCGCAGGAGGGGGTCGGTCCTGTTCCAGATCCCAGCCAGCCCACCCGTCGGCGGATCCACCTCTCCAGCCTAGAGCGCCAGCGGTTGTCCTCCCTTAACCTTACCCCTGACCCGGAAATGGAGCCTCCACCTAAGCCCCCCCGCAGCTGCTCCGCCTTGGCCCGCCACGCCCTGGAGAGCAGCTTTGTGGGCTGGGGCCTGCCAGCCCAGAGCCCTCAAGGTAACTGCCATCCTCGCAGATGTGCTGACCCAAGATGGGACAGGGTGGGAGCACTGTCTTCCTGCAGAGGAATTCTGGGGAATACAGAGGGAAGTTGTGGGGATCCCAGGCCGTGCCAGCCTCTCCTCTGCTCCATTCTTCTCGGTTCCTCCCATGCCCCAACACACACATTCAGTCTTTACCAGGCTCGCAGGGCCTCCATCAGCACCATGCTCTCTGTTGCCTGACTGGGGCAGGTGCTGGAGGCAGTAGAATTTCTCAGTTCTTCTTCTCAGCTCTTGCGGCCATGGAGAAGGAGGAAGAAGAGAGTTCCTCCTCCAGTGAAGAGGAAGAAGATGTACCTTTGGACTCAGATGTGGAACAGGTGAGTGGGCCAGTGTGCAGCCACGAAACGCTCTCCAGCCCCACTACAGGAGAAACCTGCACTGCACTCTGTCCTCCGCACCCTTCTCTTGGAATGTCTTCTCACTCAGCCTGTCATATCTCTGGCCTCCACCTTTTCTATCAGAGCTTACCCCACTTCCAGCACGGGTTCTTTTCTGCCTTTCCAAACAACACTTCTATCCACCAGGGGGCCCAGGCCCTATCCCTGACTGGCCTGATCCTCCCATAGGCCCTGCAGACCTTTGCCAAGACCTCAGGCACCATGAATGACTACCCAACATGGCGTCGGACTCTGCTGCGCCGTGCGAAGGAGGAGGAGATGAAGAGGTTCCGCAAGGCCCAGGTGAAGCCCAGGGGTTCCCAAAATTCTGATGGGGTCAAAGTTCTGAGTTCCTCCAGTGCTCTGTTCTTGAGCAACCCAGAGACTCCTGTGTATCCTGTCTTGTACCCCTCAGACCATCCAACGGCGACTAAATGAGATCGAGGGTGCCCTGAGGGAGCTAGAGGCCGAAGGCGTGAAGCTGGAGCTGGCCCTGAGGCGCCAGAGCAGTGAGTGACACCCCTCTGCTTCCTAGCACTGTGTTCAGCTCCACGCTGCAGCCCATAGGAGTCCCAGTGGCTGTGCCACACAGCTAACACATACCTGTGACACCCTGCTCTCCTGTGGCCCCTAAGCCTGTGACTCCTTCGGTGCTGGCTGGAAACCTCCTGACCACCCCACCCATCTTCCTTCTTCTCAGGTTCCCCAGAACAGCAAAAGAAACTATGGGTAGGACAGCTGCTACAGCTCGTTGACAAGAAAAACAGCCTGGTGGCTGAGGAGGCTGAGCTCATGATCACGTAAGGGGAAGGGGATGGTGACAGTGGTCCTCGGGCCAGGCTCCAGCCCCTTGGGCACCCTAGACAGCTCTGCTTCTACAATCCCTGACCTCCACAGGGTGCAGGAGTTGAACCTGGAGGAGAAACAGTGGCAGCTGGACCAGGAGCTACGAGGCTACATGAACCGGGAAGGTAGGTGAAATGTGGGGAGAGGCAGACACATCCCAGGGTTGTGTCATGCAAGCCTCATGATCTCAGCTACTGATCAAGCAGCATGGTCCCTTCTCACTTCAGTTCAATCAGAGCTGCACAGTTGGCTTTTATACAAGATCTCCTTAAAAAAAAAATGGTGCTGCTCAGTAGTGCTAGAAAACCACTGGTGTTGGCAACCATCCTAATTTGGCAGCTTAGGAAGCAAAGCCCGGGTTATAGAAATCACATAGGCTGGGATTAGGCTGTGGCTCTCCTGCTTCCCTGCCTAGTTCCCTGTTCTCTGAGCTTTGTCTCCCCCGTTTTAGAAACCCTAAAGACAGCTGCTGATCGGCAGGCTGAGGACCAGGTCCTGAGGAAGCTGGTGGATTTGGTCAACCAGAGAGATGCCCTCATCCGCTTGCAGGAGGAGCGCAGGCTCAGCGAGCTGGCCTTGGGGATAGGGGCCCAGGGCTAGAAGAGGGTGGACTGTCTGCTTTCGTTCTCACAAGGAAAACACCTCACCCCAGCACAGTGCCACCCCTGTTCATCTGGGCTGCCTGGCAGAGAGCCTTGCTGTTTACAATTAAAATGTTTCTGCCACAAACAGGGCTCACACTGCCTACAGGTGGGAGGTGGGGGCGTGTATGGGGACAGGAGATGTGTAGGAGCCTAAAGGTCTGTAGTGTGACAGTCACACTGACCCCTGGCTCCCATTGCCTCTACAAGTAAAAAAGCAGAGCCACTAAAGTGCCAAGCTTTATTGTTCTTTAGTTCTGTCCCCCTCCTGCTGCCCCAGGAGTAGGGCTGGCTGAGGCTCTGGGCCCAGGTCCTGGGCCTCCCTTGCCCTTCCTAGCACATGCTGGAGCTCAGCGTGGGCCCTATATAAGCCATTGACCTCCTGCACGTGGAAGAGGTAGAACGCACCTGCCCACAGCACCAGCCCTACGCTGGGGGTCCAGAGCAGTATGGCAGCTTCCCTGGCCCCTCCTCCAGCCGCCAGGACACACAGCAGTGCCAGGAGAAGCAGCCCCAGGCCAATCACATAGGTAGCGAAGGCAGCCCACCAGCGAGCCTGAGCCATGCCCAGACCCAGCTCCGTCCAGGCCTCCTTTAGCACACTCATCAACGGCGACCTCTCTGCTGGTCCTACAACAGGGCAGGGCAGTGGGGCAGGAGAGTGTCAAGAGTGGAAGGGCTGCTTCAAGCGGGGCAAGGGCCAAGTTAAGGGTGGGGGTGACTCACTGTGGGTAGAGTTGGGGCTCTGCTGTGGGGGGCTGTGCCTCACAAACAGAGTAGCCATCAGGGCTTCGTGATCAGAGAGGGGGGTGCCGCTGTAAGGGTCGTTGCCTGTAGTGGTTTCAAGACTCTTGCAGGAGATGTAAAACCCGGAAACTGCCTAGGAAAAGTAAGGGCCAGAGAGAAGCTTATATATGAGGGCCTCTTCCCAGAGAACCAGCTCCTGGCTACCCCACTTTCCAACCATCAGTGGTCCAAGACTAGACTAGTTGAGCAAAGGATCTATACAGGTTGGTGGTAGACAGAGAGACACAGTGGATGAAAGTATGTTGAGGGGAGGAGCCCAACCTTGTAAAGCATGTAGTCAATGCGGACACCAAAGGGAAACGGCTTCAGCTCCTGCTGGTTGACGTAGCAGTTCTTGGGTACCATGGTGTTGCCTTCTTCAGAGCCCTAAGGGAATCACTGGCTCATACTAGGATGTAGGGGAGGAGGAGGGAGAGAAGCTGGGGATATAGGTGGGGAAGTAACAGGCAAGTCCTTTCACCTTGAAGTCCCGAGTTTCAAGGTAGGCATCACGCAGCCCTGTCCACTCCTTCAGCAGGCAGCAGCCCAGGTCTTCCGGGTGCATGTTGAGGTCTCCACACAACAGAACCACGTCTGCCTTCTTGGATGTGTGGCTGGGGGAACCAGGTTGGTGAGGCGGGAATTCTTCCCTCACCAGCTCTTCCCCATGACTGGGGCCTTGTTCACCCCCAGCCCCTGGGTCCCATCCCACTTCCCCGTTCAAACCCAGGCTCACACACTGGATGAACTGGGCCAGTTCCCAAGCTTGGGCCACGCGATGTGCTAGGTAGATGTCCTTCCGTCGATTGTATTCGGCATGGAGCTGAGGAAGACAGATGAGATCCAGCAGATAAGACTGAGGGTCCCAGGGGTATGTCTGAATCAAGCCCGTGTCTGTCACTTGGCATGGTGTTGGGTATAGGATGGATAAGCCTTGCCCATTGCTTCCTTATAAGATCTTGCCCCTCACCCCCAAGCATTAGAGCTAGAGGAGTACCATCTCTCTGTCCCAGGACTGGGCTGCATGTCCCAGCCCTAGGCACTGCCAGCTTCACTCACATGGGTCACATAGGCGTTGAGCACCATGCCGCTTAGATGGAGCACCAGCAGCCCCACAGCCTTCCCACTGAACCAGTCACCATGATGGATCTGCAGGCAGGAGGAGACAGAAACTCAGGGCACCACCACCGTCTTTCTGCCCATCCCCTGCAGCTCTCAGAGGGCTGCCTCCTGTACCTTGTATTACTGGAGGTGGGGAAGGGAGGTGGAAGAGGTCCGAGGTCTGGCTTACCATGTAGGGGTAGCCATTGAGGGTGTAGACGTGCTGGGTGAGCTCCTGGATTGGATGTTTGGAGAAGACACAGAGGCCACTGCCAATGATTCCGCTGAAAGCCAAGCCCTGCTTAATAACCAGAAAAACAGGGAGAGACACCCAGCCCTCTTCCCCTCCCTTGTCTTCCAGCTTTGATCAGCTATTTTTTTTCTTTTTCTACTGCTGGGACTAGCCCTAGAACAAAGGCAACAGCCTTTGGAGGAGTATACGGCAGCCAGAAAACAAAGCTGAAATGGGCTGAAGTCATAGGACCTTCTTGGTTCACCCTTCCCCTTCTCACATCCAGAGGGAGAGAAGGCTGGAGGAGACTGGAGGGTGCAGGCAGGATAGGGAAGGGCTGGCAGGGCCAAGAGCCTCCTGGGATGAAAACAGGCTTCAGGCCCGTGGGCTTCTCACCTCCGGAAGTGGTGTGCAGCTGGGTAGGTAGGTGACAGCTTCTGTCTCAGGTACTGGAAGTCCTGCTCACTCCACACCTAAGGGAGGCGGTAAGGATGTCTGCCTGGCCTTTCCCCAGGGGGAGGATCTGCCCCCAGGTGCCCTCCTTCCAGCCTGGGTTCCACATGGTGCTGCACAATCTCACCTCCTCCAGCAAAGCCAAGTCGAAGCTCTCCTGGTTCAGAAAGTCGCCCAGGCGCCTCATGCGGTCGGCCCGGTGCTTGCTTAAGTAGGGAATGCCCCTAAGGAAGGGAAGAGCGAGGCAGGTGATGGGACCGCTGGGACCACCAGCGCTGGGGCCAGATGTGGACTTTGGAGGTTCGGGTTCCCCTACACTCTGAGATCGTGGCGCGGGATGGGGTGAGGAAGGCTGCATGGGTGCGAACGGCTGCATGGGTGCGAACCGAAGGCGGCCCCCAGACCGCACTCCGTGGACGCGCTCACCAGCAGTTGAGGTTGAAAATCCGCAGTCGTAGGGAGAAGTTGGGCTTCATGTCTGGGGCACTCCAGGGGCGCAAGGCGGCTCTAGCTCCCCAGCGACGGCCGCGGTGGGGACGGGGGCGGCCCGCGGCGCCTTCTCCCTGGCCCGCTCCTTCCTCGCAGGCGGCGCGCACAGGTGGGCACCAAGCTCGCGCGGCTCAGGCCGGGCCCGACTCCCGCGTTCCCCCGACAACCGGCCGGCTGGTTCCAACCAGGCGGGCCGCCAACCCGGAAAGACGATCCGCTGCCGAAATCCGGGTGCCCAAGCTCGGCGAGGGCCACGCGCCAGGACCCTGGGGGTCCGCAGAGCGCCCCCAGGTGGGCGGCTCTCGGTTCCTTTTTCTCCAAGCTCGTCCCCGGCCGCCGCCGCCCGCGCGCCGGCGGCCCAGCAACAGGCGCAAAGTTGAGGAAAGGCCGGGCCGCCACTGGCCGCCCTCGGCCCCGCCCCTGGGCCCCGCCTCCTGCGAGCGGCGGAGGCGGGGCCGCGCAGTTGCCGGAGCGACGCGCAGTGTTTGGGGTCACCAGGCGTCCCCGCGCGCGGCCATGGCAAGGCCGCGGCCTTGCGGGCCCCAGCAAGCCAGGTGCGGCTCGCCGTCGCTGCCCGAGCGGCCGCTGCAGGTGAAGGTGGTGGGGCTCTTCAGCTGCCCCAACTTTCAGATTGCGAAGAGCGCCGCTGAGGTAACCACAGAGAAACCTCTGTCGCGGGCCGCCCTCCGCGCTCCCGGCTCTCGGCGGCGTGGACTGCAGGCGCGGCGCCTCCTCGAGGCGGCAGGGGTCGAGGCCCCACCGGCCGAGGAAGGGGCTGGCGTGTCCTAGCCGGGCGGGCTCCGTCTGGAGGACCGGGAGGAGTGTATAGGGGAGCAAGTGCGGGTCCGGGGGCTGGCGTTCGACTTTGCGACGAGATCTGAGCGAAGGAAGGGTTCAGAACCCTTCTGGGAAATAAGGAAATCCCCTCCGAGGCGCGCGCACACACACACACACACACACCCCTGCGGATTTAGTTCTACGTCAATTTTTCATTTAGTTATAGATTTTAAAATTCATGGAAAAATGATTACTATATAACTAGCTGATTTTTACAACCCCCCACCCCCACCCCCGAAGGCCCGCCAAGCGATTTTTGTAAACTATTCATTCGGGGAGGTTCTTTTCTTTGAATTTTATAGACCCGTCACTGCGTTCCTATCGAACTAGATGCTTCACAAATGCTTTGGAAAATAATTTGTTTGTAAACACTCAGAACGATATTAAAGAAAAAGCACTTGAGGAAACTGGAAGAATTTGGCCAGATCAGTTATGCTGCAGCACACTTACAACCTGAAATGCCAGGAGAAATGTATGAAATGTCGGCATGTAGAATTCAGCCCTTCTTACAGGGTTTCCTCCAGAAATGTCCATGGCAGACTTCTCGCCGAACCTCACTTGACTCCAGGACCATGCCTTAGTTAATGTTTTTAACTCCCGAAGTACCCAGCTGGATACTTGACAACAAAATGTTTCCAAATAGAAGACAAAGTCTTGGTCGCGGTGACTCACGCCTCTACTCTCAGCACTTTGGGAGGCAGGGGCAGAGTTCTAGACCAGCCTGGCCAACATGGTGAAACCCCGTTTCTACTAAAAATACAAAAAATTAGCCGGGCGTGGTGGCGGTCGTCTGTAATACCAGCTACTTAGGAGGCTGAGGCACAAGAATCCCTTGAACCCGGGAGGCAGAGTTTGCAATGAGCTGAGATCACACCATTGCACTCCAGCCTGGGCAACAGAGCCAGACCCGTCTCAAAATAAATAAATAAATAATAAAAAGAAAACAAATGATCAGAAGTCTGTGAAAATAATACATGAATCATCAAAAGTAGAAATTATGGTCTGTGTTGCTTGGGCAGACGGGATCAGCAACCTTTTATTACCAAAGTTAATGGCCATAAAGCTAATTACAAAGTTAATGTATTTAATGAGTTTCGGGGATTTCTTTTTTTTCTCTTTTTTTTTTTTTTTCGCTTTTTTTCTGAAGGCACATATTTTCTGTGCCTACTCCACATTGTAAAGAAAGTGTT